TTTTTGGACGAATCAAAATGGCCATGTTGCCGAAACGAAGACTAAGGATGTGGTTATAGGCTTTCTAGCCGCACTTTATTCTCAATGATAAAAAATATATAAAATTCTTCTTATTGTTCTCTTTACATCTTTCTAGCAGTGAATTTGCTGTAGCTTGGAGAACTGGTGGCAGGGATGAGCTTCAAAAGAGTCTCCTGTACCATGGGAGGGGAACCACCGCATCCTTAGTCTTCGTTTCGGCAACATAACCATTATGGTAGGCACGACCCACAATTGCCATTGCCTCCACCCTGACCTCGGACGTGGTTATGTTCTTGGTAACTTCTCCAAACACAATGTTGGCTATGTCGGATCCACGTTTGTGCCGATTTCTTGGCCGGTAGTAATAGTCTTCGAAGGTGTTGTTTGTCAAACTCCAGTTCGCGTGCAGCTTTACTCGTTCTATCGGGACACCTAAAGACACTTCTTTCGTGTTTGCTGCGGACCACAAAGAATGCGACTTGAACTTGTTTGTGCTGATCTCTGGATCGTGCATTATGCCTTCCAGCCACCTGCTGGCTGTCTTTGGTTGAATCGATTTTGCGGGTGCACAGCCATTACTTAAGTAAGCTGAGATCATACTCCGTTGGGTTTCTCCTGGGATTCTCTGAAAAACACCAATTTGCCCAGTTTCCCAATAACGATTGTAGGCGTCGTTTGTTGACTTGCGGATAGCTTGAGCTAGAAACTTTGCTGTAGCTTCATCCATCCATTCTTTCTCCTGATACATCCGGATAACCACCACGCGGTTACTGAGAAGTTCTTCTTCAGGGCGAAAACTAGGGGCTTCGTCTTGTTGCGCTTCAATACCATCGGCCACCAAAACTGCATTGGCCATGCTAAGGTCACCATCACACGATCATGTTCTCGATCTTGATTGTTTTCTTTCAAATACTTCGGTTGCTCCCCTTGCTGCAACTCTGAGTCGATCTCTATTTTTGAATCTTTGCTGGATCGACTGATATGCGTCCATTTTTGCATTCTTAAGCTCTTGGACAAACATCTTATTGGCTACGCCTGACTTGGTCCACTTGCCTCCGTCGGATTGCAAGGCTTCTTTTTAAACTTTTGGGTGTTTGTCCTGAGCTACTTGCTGGAAGACTCTTCCAGATCATCGAGGATTACACTTGGTAAGGCATCCTCTGTTGATTTGTCTCTACCGGCCTGTGCGGTGTAGCGCTGGATGAGCTCAATGATTTGTGCTTCTGTATGACCATAATCTGACATTTGTGTATCACGATGCGCGACTAGAAAGCCTATAGCCACACCCGAAGTCGGAGTGGAAGCAACGGCAATTGTGGTAGGCATATATTTTGCCTTGGACAGGATCACGATGAGCGTCGTTGGAAATGAATTTTGCCAACGGTATAACGTTGGTATGCGCTCAAATCTCTTTGAAGTAGTTCTTGTAAACTGAAATTATGGTTTCTGCAATCAGGACTTCTTTTTGTTTTATGCCCCTCCTCACCACAAGATTTTCCGGGTCAACTCTTCTTCTAGCTCTTCTAGCTGCGTCTTTTCCCTTTTTTCTTCTGGGGTATCTGGCACCTAGCGTCCTAAACAGCAAAGTTAAGAATGAGACAAAGTTACATTATAAAAAACTTACGTTTTCTTCTGGTAGGGATTGAATCTTCTGCTTCTTGGACGTCCTGTTGTTTTTGATCACCTAGCTTTTGCTGCTATTTATTCCGAATAAGCTCTTCGGCAAGGGGATATAATATTGGGCGCATTAAGAGTATACTGAGAATAAAGAAAACGTTTTTTTTTTCAACAAGGCATTATATATTAACACAAACTTAATACCTCATCTTAATTTATCATATAAGATAAACTGGCATTTTCTCTATATTTTGTATTATAAATTGGAAGTTATACTTATCCCAATTACTGTTGCCTCCGTTCCAGGTTCAGGTGAAGTGATAAAGGCTCTTTCGTGCCACGCTTTATTTTCAGATAATATATAATAAAAAAGTTTTTGTTTCCATTTTTTCAGATTTTTTTCGTGCCACGCACGGTGGTAATCATATATCCAATGATCATTCTGAACAATTGTTTACAAGAGAACAAATCGAACAAATCATTGCGGAAGTGTCAATAAAATTCAGTCTCGACAGATCAAGTAAAGTTCCCACAAACCTTCCAAACGGAATCTTGGAAGAACTGAAGATCAACTCGTCCATCAATTTACAGAAGAACACCAAGGAATTTGCTAAGGGCCATCCAAAGCACGAAGGTAGTGAATGAACCAACAGTGAGATATTTAACATAAAGTTCCACAGAAAACTTAAAAGGAAAACAGTGGATGCCCTCTTTTTACTGTAGTCTTTATTGAGCAGGATCTTTAGTTTTATAAAAGTCATCACTCGCGCGTTAAACATACCTTCAGTCAATCTCAATGAATTCTGTACTGCTATTATCAATGAACCAACATTCAGCTTTAGGCACACTTTCGAGACTCACGTTAAGCATGTGTAAGAAGATTTACACATATATTATATAAATGCTAAAGTAGGTCGGTTGTGTGTGTCTTATCCACGATTGAACAGTAATTACTAAAAAAGGAGCATCGTACGACTGTTTACGTATCTTCGATTAAGATTTTTCTGTACATAAAAAGAATATCATTGTTACACAACATGAAAGATCTGTAGAGAGAAGGGGAAGTTTATGCGTACGCAGGCCATTACAGATAAAAAGTCTTCATGTATCATTGAATTGCAATCGATAAAACGTAGAGTATAGATCCTTGACTGGTTATTTGACATGAGTGACAATTAGTTATCCAGTCTGCACAGTTAGAACACTATCTGTAAACCAAGCATTAGAGGTACATCTAAGGGGAGGGGCATATCAAGTAAGTCAGGAAAGCTCATTGCTCATGAGTTTTGAAAAGAGAAAAATGTCCGAGTCGTTAGCATAACTGAGGAATTTAGTTGGAAAAGTTCTCTGAAAGACAAGGTGATGTGTATCGCTAGTTGGAAGACGGGGGAAAAGAAAGAGAGGTGAGGGAACTATACGAGAAATCACATGAAAAATTAGAGGAAAGCACTCACTTAATGGGGAACAGGTTGATTTAATCGCAATAAGGCCCACACACCAAGTTGGACAGTCGGGGAATCACCCTGTCTCCGAGGCCCTGGCCGCTGAGGACGAAGTAACTAAGCCAGTCGCTAACGAAGAAATGGATGCATGCTTTAAGAGTCACCAGGGCATATAAAAGGGTGTCTGGAGAAGTCAAATACAGAGAAGGATAGAACACAGATGATTTGGCTACAGTACAGTCAGATGCTTTTTTTCTTAGGAGAACTGCTACTTGAGGTAATGCCGGTACATCTTGCCGAGGCGTTGATCAACCTATGGTTGTACCAAACATTGTCCGATACCAAAGCACCACGTCAATGTCCCATTCGGTAAAGATTAAAATATATGAGGGCATTATGCTGAAAAGATTTACAATCTTGTGTTGACCAGTGACTGATCCAAGAAGGCGAGAGCCATGTGCTCATAAGGAAGAGACGTTGCCGAAAAAGCATTTTTAATGACGCCCAACCAACGTACCTGATAGCAATGTTGGTTTTAGTAAAGAGTGTATGACATTTACAAATTCCAAAAGTTTGTCCAATGAGATCTGCAGTTTTGACATCCAAGTAGACAAGAGGCCACTTCATTTGGCTGTGTGTGACTGTGAGTGCACACACACATTTCGTTCTTGTGTTACCTTGGCGACCGATTATTGTTCAACAACCAGCCCACGTTGCATGAAGAAGGCTACTGATTTGATTAGCAGAAATCCTTTTAGCTGCTCTTCTTCATAATTCTCCCCCTTTTCCTTTCCCTCTTCCCTTCTCTCTCTCTCTTTCATTACCATAGAAACGAACATATTCAAAAGAGAAGTGGTAATGGATTTAAGTAATTTTCAGCTTGTTGAATCCATGAATGATATGGAAATGCTGAGAAGCCTGTCTAATAATGATCAGCAATACTCTCAGAAACAGTCCAATAGTACGAATAACTATGATCAGTTCCAGCAGGACATCAATCTCTTATTCCAATCTAATACACCAACAACCTCTTCTCCTCACGTAAATTCATTCCTTAGCTATCATCATGCTCCAAAACATCATCTGGCCAATCATTCATCCCCTCATTACAGAATAACATCTCACCAAATTTCGGATTGTTATGAACAAGAGGTAGTAAGCAGTATGTCTTTATAAACATTGATAAAATTTATACCAAAGAAAAAAAATTATAGGATATGCTCACACCCCTCATTTCTCCAGCCATGACCCCTTCTTTTAGTTATCAATTACAGCAGCAGCCACAACAGCAACAACAACAGCAACAAAATAATAAATCAATCAATTTTGGTAACGACTTGGATTTTTCTCCCTTGTCTTCCCCCGCAATGCTCCCTCAATCAGATGGCTCTCAACAACAAAAGCCTCGGTTTATGTCTGCAAATCAGATACGGGAGCAATACGAGCAGCTAGAACAAGCGAAATTGTTAATCACTCAAAAATTGTCCGAACTACAAAAATCACAGCAACAACATCAGCAACGTTCACAACAGTATGAGGTCAGCCTGATTTCATCTGATACTTCTCCACAGAAAGACAGTAAGAGTATTGTCCCTTATTATTTATACATGTATTTACTTTTCTTTTTACTGTAGATATAAATAATGATGCTCATCAAAATGGACATGTATCAACGCATACCTCTCAAGATACTTTACGAATGGAACCAGCTACACCTGCTTCATTAATGAAGATCTCTAACCGAGCCCCAAAGGCTGATTCACCCCTACCTCCTGCCTCTCTTCCGCCGTTCAATAGCGAGCCCATAGTTGCAGCAACGACGCGTCCAACTACATCATCCATAGCTCCGCGAAAACAAAGGGCGTCCATAAAGAAGGAAAAACCTGTTGGCAGAAAAAAGCAACGACGTGAATCCGTCGATCCCAAGACAGTTGCCTCTCCTCGCGCACTCAAGCCTCTCTTGATCAGTCCTACACTACGTCCAGGCACAAACGCGCTGCCGACCATGCTCTCTCTCAGTGGTTCTCAGGTTGCTTCAGTAGAGGATGCCGAACGCATTCTTGCGACACGGTCAAATTATCAGAATTTGATGGAGGGCAAGGGCGCTGCACTAGGCATTGCTTTCAACTCGCAAATCAAGAGTGGTCTCGAAGTTCGAAGAACGGCGCATAAGGCAGCGGAGCAAAAGCGACGCGATTCTCTCAAGGAATGGTTTGACCGACTGCGCTGTGAGGTCGAGGAAGGCTATGTCAAGCGTCAAAAATCACTCATGTCCCAGGTGATACAAGCCCAGGAGCTAGAAGGCAAACATCATGCTAACGAGGGTGAGAAATCCACTGAAGATGATGAAGGTAGCCCTGGAAACCAATCAGAAGCAGCTACTATGAAGCCCCTGTCCAAAGTGTTACTGCTCCAATATGCCTACGAATACATCACATCTTTAAAGAAAACTTTGTCTGAAAAAGATGCAACGATTGAGCGACTGATGGCAGGAGAAAAACTCGAAGACAAGAATGAACAAGCCGCTGATGAGATGCAGGTGGATCCACCAACTGGTAAATTCACATAACACTCACTTTTACCCAATTTACTTTCACTACCCAGCCTATGCTTACTTTCCTTTTCTGATTCGACTCTATGTGTTCCCTTTTATGCTTATGTAATCCGTTTTATGTATTATGTTTGATCTGCTTTATGAATCAATACTTTATTTTTATCTTTATCAATACAGCCTTTGCCAAATAATATCATCCTTAATATTATTTTCCAAAGAATTGGATGTCGTCCCTCCGAAAAAAAAGCCTTGTTGCTTCCAGATACATATTACACGTCTCAATCATCCTTCAAGGTCTTCCTTTCACATGATTGAAAAAACCTTTTATATTACAGAAAAAATCAAAAGGGACATGTTTGATGAAGCAACAGATTTAACTTGTTATTGTAAACGTCTTTTGCTTTATTTTATAGTGTTCTCTGATGACCTATTGTAGCCAAACATTGCTCCTTTTCTATAAAGAAATAAAGTGAAATTTTCTTGTAATAAGCAACATCATTAAACTTTATTGAATATGATCCTCGTTCTTCTAAATGGAAAAACGGAATACATATCGATCCTAGTACCAAAGTCATCCAATACCAGACACGGCTAAAGCCTTTTTTAATCAGTTGATTTCCGAGCATAACCAATGATTTGGTTACCTATCTGATTTTCATTACCAAATTGCTGCTTCTATATAGATCGAAGGAATATCATGTCTTTCTCCAGTTTATAATGTTAATAGCTATTCTTTAAAATTACCATAGCAAACACGATACTTTTTGCAAATATTGTGTTTTCTAAACTAAACAAATAAAAAGTAGGATGCATAAAATACAATGATTCTTTATAATATCTGTTGTTAGACTTGTTTTTGGAATAATTAGAGAATCTTTGATAGCAAGACTATATCTCGTCTGTGGATATAAGTATGATATTAGGAAAACAGTAGCTTAGAAGAAACAAGTAGAATTGATCTTCATGATTGTCTTGAGAGGGGACAATTATGGCTCATTAGAGCTTGTGGGTCGAAAAAAACTGCGATATTACTATTTTAGAATAAAGTGTAGGACAACAGGGACAGCTACGTGACTTCAACTTTGTTTTTTTAGTGACAAAAAGTTTTCCCCTCTATTTTTTTTTTAATTCTTTTCTTTGTAAAAAGTTCATTCAGTAAAGGGAAACATCTTGACAAAGAATTTAAGAAGAGGATGCAGGCATCCACAGATAATCATACAGAACTGGTAGAGAACTTTGTACCTCAGCCCATGTTCCAATGGCTTGCACCCGATGAGTCTAAAAGCTCTTTTGTTCCCTATTACCTCGATAAACAACAAGAGGATAACCTTTCAATAGACATTTTACAACTCTATCAGGTAAACAAACAAAGTTATTATGGATGTTGTTAACACTTTATTTAGAAACTTTTACCAACAAAGGAAAGTTACGAGAGAAGACTAAAGTTTGTAAAGAAGATGGAAAAGTTATTGAATAGTGAATGGCCAGATCATGATATAAAGGCACATGTGTTTGGGTAAGGATCATTAGACACAAGAATAGAATATATATATGCAGTTCAAACAGTTTCTCAGACGAAATAAACTATACATGTTGTATACACCCTATGTAGATCCTCTATGAATGATTTAGGTACAGGTTCGTCTGACATCGATTTGTGTATCACTACGCCATGGAATGGATTACGAAATGTTAGAGTGCTTGCAAAATTATTTAAAAGATGTAAGAATCATCATACATGAACAAAAAAGAGGGTATGCTTAACGCTGTTTATAGGTGGAATGCAGCATGTTGTTTGTGTGCCACGCGCAAAAGTACCCATTGTTCGCCTGTTTGACCCAGAGCTGTATGTTTATAACATAATATCAACTCTTTTAACTAATGAATCATAGACAACTCTCATGCGATATCAATGTAAATAATACACTTGCTTTACAAAATACAAAGATGATCAAAGTTTATGTCGCCCTTGATCCTCGTGTACGACCGCTGATCATGACAGTCAAGCATTGGACCAAACAGAGGCAATTAAACGATGCAGGTAAGTGAGAAAATAATGTAGGATGGACTAAGATGATTCATATTGTGCTATTACCAGCCAACGGTGGAACATTATCATCTTACACATGGACATGCATGATCATCAACTTTTTACAGCAGCGTGAACCTCCTATCTTACCAATCCTTCATGCGACAGAAAATGACGAATTGAATGATGATGAGTATTACTTTTGTGATGACATCAAGAAGTGGAAAGGGTTTGGACTGAAGAATAAGGAGAGCCTTGGAGGATTATTGTATGCGTTCTTTCGTCGATTTGCCATTGAATTTGATTATGACAGTCAAGTTGTATCTGTGCGGCAGGGGAAGTACCTGACAAAGAATGAGAAAGGATGGGATACAGGAAGGAATAGGACGAGTTTGTGCGTAGAAGAACCGTTTAACACTCAAAGGAACCTCGGTAACTCTGCAGATGTAACCTCGGTTTTAGGATTAAGGTGTGAGTTTCAACGATGTTTAGACTTGGTTCTTGATCACGCTGATCTAGAGACGATCTGTACGCCGTATAAGCACATGTTCCATTCCTCCGATCATAACACAGACATACCCACAACCAACATCTTTTCACTCACTTTGCCTGCCTATTCTGACGACAATCACAAAATTGAACTCACAGCACATCCTCATGATCGCCGAAAGAGTATGGTCGATGGCATCTGCCACTATCAGCAATTGCCAAAAACTCCCTCGAGCTCACCGTATAGGCCATCAGCACTTCATTCGACGTTTTATCCCCGTTTCAGTTCTTCACAAGCTCTGGATACAATCATCCAGAGCCGAGCTACACGTCATGGTAGTCATCCTCTGCCGCCTGTTCCTTCAAGCTTGTTATCGATGTTGAACATCAGTAATAATACAAATCATTCGCGATCAGTAGATAGCTTGTTTACGAGACACCAAAAGAAGTCTACTAGACAGCGTGACGATAATAAAGAAGGGTTTGTCAAGAGAAATGGATATCAAAGAAAGAAAGTATTTGATCATCAGAATTCACATCAACATCATCATCAACAGCAAAAGCAAAAGCAAAAGCAATCTGAGGAAAGGCCGCCACGTAGACAGTCGAATGGTATGGAATGGCCTTCGATTTCAGGCCATGCGCATACATCAAAGGAAATGGGAACTCCAGCGATAGGCCCACGAAGATGGTCTACGGTGAAAAGACATGGCGATGACACTAGTGTTGACAGTAACAGTAATAACAATAATAATAATAGCGACAATGAAGAGAAGAAAAAGACTCTGGCAGAAATAGTAAAGATTGCTCCAGCGCCAACCACTGCAACAGCAAAACGGCCGATTGCCAACAGCAAGTCATTTGTTTCCACAGCAACAGCGGCCAGTAACGGTAGCAACAAGAGCAAATATAAGAAATCATCAAAAAGCAATAGTAAAAATAATACCAATCATAGACAGCCAAAAAACAAAAGCAACAAGCTCCGTGCTTCAAAATGATTTAGAATGTAAATATGAAAAAAGAAACCGAGTTATCATATACATATTATATATATTACATCTAACAAGAAAAAAAAAGAATGTAATAAATGTGTACTTTACAAGTTTGTATTAAACTTTTATTATGTTGATAAAGTTAATCGGCGTAGAGAGAGAGAGAGAGAGAGAGAGAGAGAGAAAAGGGGGAGGAAAAGTATTAAAGGGAAAGGGGATAGCTGTTAAAGTGTACATCACTTCAATCATGAAGTAAGTACAAGGAAGCGACAACTTTTTTTTTTGCATGCATTGTGTCTAATTAACAGTAATCAGTATTGATCATTAACAGGTCAAACTTTGTATGAATGAGATTTCGAAAGTGGCTGCTTTTGCATAAATATAGCAAATAAAGCAGTAACCAGTTGATGCAGTAATCATTGTTGTCAATATGAAATAGAAAGGGGGAATTAATGGCCTTCATATCTTTATACCCTTCCATCCTTTTCTTCCTTATCCAATGAATGTCTTTACAACAACAACAAACAAGAAAAGGATGCGTTTAATTCTTTGTTCATTCACTCCTTTCCAATTTTATAAAACTCAGCTCAATTACTTTTTAATCTCTCCTCTTTTCTTTTTTTTTTTATAACCTGATGCCTGACAATCCTTATGAGCCTGTTTATGCAATTGTAATCATATTCGTCATTCTCTTATTCTCAGTAACTGCCTGTGTTGGTTTAAGGGTATTCAGAAAGACTCGTTTCCTTGAACAACAACGACAACAGCAACAAGAAGAAGAAGGACAACCAGTGAATGACATTCAACTGGTTCGTATTGCAGAGGCGGCTGACGACGAAGCAATAAAAACAGTAACAAGTAAGAGGGGGGCATATCATTTTAATAACAAGCAGTTAATCGTGCCTTTAAATAGACTGGCAACAGAAATATCCGCCCAATACAACTCAATTCATCGATGTAAAGAATGATCCGATGATAATCGAAAAAGGAGTCTTGGCTTGGAAGTTTGTAGAGGCTGACATGACACAGGATTCAGAGTACGAAAGTAATGCTGCGATTATGGATGATCCTTATACAATTGTATTCTGCCAAGGTCAAGGAAGCATCATGACCAATCTCCCAGTACCTATGCAGGAATTGTCTTACTGGGAAGTAAAAGTACTCCAGTTACACGAAGAGGATAGTGTGGCCATAGGTTTTGCAACTAAACCTTATCCAAGGTGGAGATTACCAGGATGGCATAAGCACTCTGTAGCGTACCACTCTAATTCAGGAGCTGTATTTGTCAGCGACTCGACCTACGGAAGACCCTATGGGCCACCAATAAAGGAAGGTGATGTCGTAGGTGTAGGATATCTGTATCAAAGTGGAACTATCTTCTTTACTCAAAATGGAAAAGTAAGATGTCTCTCGTTCACTAGTGTCCTACAATCTCTTACTTTCTTTTTTCTCCCCCCCTCCCTTCTCTAATTTCCTTTCTTTAGAATTTAGGTAAAGCACTGATAGGATTTAAATATCCTATCTTTCCCATCATTGGAGCTTCTGGTCCTTGCCATGTGTCTGTCAATTTTGGCTTACAAGAGTTTTTATATATACCAGGTAAAAAAAAATACTCATCCAACAAAGATATAATACATAACAATAATCATAGCAAATCAACGAGAAGCAGCGTTTGCACCAAAGCAAGGATTACTCCCGCCACCTCCCGCATATGGAGGACATATAGACGATACCATACTATCTGATGATAATAGCCATAATGAAAACCACCTAACATACACAGCCATCTCGTCTTCTTCTCCTCCAGGCTACTCTTCTTAATTATACATATTTTACAATCCTCCATAATAAATTTATCATTCTCTTTCTCTAATCCACCAGGGATTTTGCTGTGTTTATGATCAAACTACTCCAATTTTCTTCATTATATTCCTGTTCCCTAATCTGCATTGACCATTCTCTACGTTGGCTGATCAACTGTAACTCCTTTTCTACTTCCAACTGCAGATGAAGAGGAATACCGTATGCATAATAGGCCATCTGATCAATCGCAAACTGAAATAAAGATGCAATTTTCAACAAAACGACAAAACAGTGGAACGCATCGCCTCGTTTCCTCTGTACAAAATCATCGATCCATTGTATACTTTGCCAGCACGAAAAACTTGCTAGATCAGCATCGGGTCGTATGTCAAGCGTATCGTAATGGCTTAACGCCGCCTTGTCAGCTTCATCAAGGCGCCACTCGTAGCTTCTTACACGTTCCATCAGTCGTTGTCCACTGTGTGTATGTCGAATAAATGTGTACAACCATGTGCGAATGAATGTGACGGACTGTACAAAGAGAGCAAGCTCATGCATGAATCGAGCAGAAGGAGGTGGAGCAAATGGTATAGTGGCCATAGACCGTCCAAAGAACCGCATTCGACCTTGCTGATCATAACTGCAGTACACTTTGGTAAAGTACTGCAAGAGAGTACAATTCAAGATGCCGCAAAAGTAATCATAGTCTTGCCAAGGAGTCGAGGGTTGAATCGTAAAATAAATACACTGGTTCGTCACGGCTATCTGTGTCGTGTCTATAAAAAATCTTTGACGAGGCTGCGTACGTGAATAATAACCACAGTTGATAGGATGAACGATCTTTACAGGATATTCTGTCCCACACTTGCTGTACTGACAATACACAATATCTTTATCGTTCTTGTTGGCCTGCAATGAAAGACGAGCTTCGTGTAAGTAATTATAGAGCACAGCATAACTCTCGTCCTCTGTGCTCTGTGCTCGCAAGTAGTCAGCGTCTTCTCTATTGATCATGATGAGAGAATAAAATGACTCCTTTTCGTCATATGAGCGGTATGGCCAGTACGCTTCGGCTGCTGAGGCTTCCTTTTTGATGAGTCGAAGTGGATCCCTTGTTTTCCAAAATTCTCCTTCTTTACCGCCTCCAGTAGACGCATACCCTGACTTACCATTCCAGTAAAAGCAAGGCTTTAACCACTGCTGACACACTTTATCTCCAAATTTGTGTCGTGCCCATGCAGTTCTGACCACAAGAGCATAAACAGGGTTTGTATTAGGCCCTCGATGCCAAACGAGAGGCGCTTGACCATCTCTCTTGCCTTCTCCATCACATAACCGTGGCAAATGACCAGTAAGCCTGTTAAGCTCGTCCAGACAGGAGGTGGTTGGAAGAATGAACGCAAAGGAAGCCATACCCTTACAACTCTTTAAACAAAAGCTGTATCGGAACTGAAGCTGGGGGTTACAGTTTGTCAGAGGATTGAAATCGCGATACTGTTGCAACAGGTCAGCAAGTGGTGTATTTCGAGCCTTGTTTCGAAGATAGAGTGTATATTCAAAATGATCCAGTATCGATGTACGTTTGCAAATACGGAAAATGAGTGAATCTGTTTGTACCTTGGGCCAGATTTTATAAGGTTCAAATTCATACATGTCTAGCAGCTTACAATTCATCAAGATCCATTCTCTATTAATGCATTTAAACAGCGGAATGAGCTGCGTGATTTTTTTTTAACTCTCAAGAGAGAAAAAGGACAATGTTTTTTGTTATTACCGGAAGTGCTGGGCAAACTCGAGTATGGTCCATTGACTGGGTGTGATCAGACAGACTTGACCAAGCTGATCATCAATTCGTTGAAGAGCAGCCCACATAAAATATACATAAGCTTGAGTACCTCTTCCTCCGAGTGTTTGCAGATCATAGAGCGTAGGGTCGGGTTGAGTGATGAATCCGGTCTTTCTGATCATGTAGGGTGGGTTTGTGACGATATAATGAAACTTTAGCTTTGAAGGATCACGTAATAGATTGAGGCAGTCCTTTTCAAAAGCATCTTGGTTACCGTCATCGCATCGCAACGTGAGCGTGTCATTACAAAATAATCTCAATCGATTTATTGAATGTGACGGTAAGCTTAATTGGAGTTCATTTAATCTTTGATAAATAGGAAACAAGTGAACCATCATGTTCAATTTGCATAAATGATATGTAAACGGATCAATCTCTACTCCCCATATGCTTTCAGGAATATCTTGTGTCAACAGCTTGGCAAGGCGCTCAGCGTCATTCCATACATCTCGTCTACACTGCTCAATCAATCGATGAATGTATTCACATAAAAAGGAGCCTATTCCAAGACATGGATCAAAGATGCGTGGTATACCGTAGTGTACTAAAAGAGGCCTTGACGCAATTACCTTCTCCCACATGAACTGAATGACTGGTTTGGGTGTATAATATTGACCATGATCCTTTTGATGCTTCTGGGCTGATGTTTCTAAAAAGTAGTGGGTATAAAATTTGGAAATGATGGTGTCAATGCTAGTGATTGATATATCAAGATGATCAAGTTGTATGCGTAGGTGACATAGTAGTGAAACATGATGTTTATAGTAGTACCATACAAATGGCGTGCTTAACAAGGAATCATACGGTGAAAATAGTCGCATGAAATCATGAAATGAGTCTGACAGAACAAGTTCAATGAATGTTAGATAAACCGCCATAAATCCAGTCATCAGGCAGTGAATATATAGTCCATCTTTATCATCAAGACTGCGTTGAGTTAAAAATGTTGCTGTTTCTGAGGATGATGTACATGTTTCTTTTTTAAAAAAGAAAACCGTTAAAAGATCAAGGATTTAAAAAAAGGCCTGTTCTTTTTTATATATATCTACCTTGACTATTTCTGATATCTTGTAGTATATTTACAAGAGAAAGTCCTAATATGTTGACAACAGTCGTCGTTTCTCTTTCTCCCAAGTCAATTACTTTCCCACTTGTTGTAGTGGTTTGCTCATTTGTAATTGTCATTGAAGTAAAGTAAAAAATAAAAAATAAAAATAAAGAATAAAAAAAAAAAATATCGAAAGGCATAAAATACATTTAATTCCGCTTTTTCAAATCCATGGCGTTATCCTTTTTTATATATTCACACTTTATGTTTCTTCTCGGGGGTTTCAATTTCACCTTCCTCTGTTTCTCTCTCACGCTTGACACTACTATGTTCTTCGGCTAGGGAATCTTCAGCCTCAGTGGTATCTTTGTCAAGAACTTCTTCTGTTTGTGTTACTGACTGATTATCATTATTATTATTATTGTTATTATCTGTCTGCCCCAGAGTTTGTTCCGTCGTTTGATCCTCGAAAGATTCCAAGGGTTGATCCACAGATAGTTCACTGTTTTCAACGACTTGTTCTACGGACTTGTTGTTTGTCTTTTCTGATGAGGCTGTAGTTTCACCTTCTGCGCTGTCTTCTACGTTTTCAGATGCAATGTCTGTTAAAGATAGATCAGTAGATGCTTCTACTTCTGGTTCTGCTGGCGCTGCGTCCTTAAGCGCTGTAAGTTCCTCCTGAAGCCGTTTGTTTCTGTTTTGAGACATTGAATGCATCACCCTGAGTCTTCCTATTTCAATAGTAACATCCACCACTTCCTGTCTTGCTTTCTTCAGTTCTTCCTCCATCGCAGCCATCTTTTCTTTAAGTTCAGCAACTAATGCAGTATTAGCGCCTTCATTGTTCTTGGCATTATTCTTTGCACTGTTTTCTTGTTCTGCCTTCAGCGCCTTTAATTCTTCCGACAGCTTATTCTTCTCATGTTGGATCACTTTAGCTCTATTCAATATGCCAGCATATTTTGTTTCTAATGATTGAAATTCATCTAATTTCTTCTTTAATGACGTTTCTGCACTCTTTGCATCTTGCTCTGCCGCTTGTCTTGCTTCTTGTTCCTTCTTTAACGCTTCTTCCAAAGACTTTACTTTCTGCGAACTGATTTCATTAGACTTCTAATAAAGGATGAATAATCAGGATTATAAAGTCATTTTTACAACTTACGGAAATGGAAGTACCAGCAGCAGCAGCAGCAGTAGTAGTAGTAGTAGCAGTAGTAGCAGTAGTAGTAGCTGCAGCGGTTGCTTCTTTCAATTGTTTTTGTAGGTCTGCAACCTTTGACTCTAGCTCTGTATTCTTTTTGTTGGCATCCATCAGACGATTCTTCAACTCCAATGCAAAACGTTGTTTATTGTTTGCATTTGACACAAGACTAGCTTGACTAGATCTAGTTGTTTCCAATTCTGTTTCTAGAGACTTTATCCTCTCGCTCAATGGTGCTACTGAAGCCTTCATAGACTGCAATTCATTATTGACTTTTTCCAATTCAGCTTTCACTGCCTCATTTTCGGCCTTTATACGATCCACTTCTTTGACATCCACTTGGTTATGCTTAGCAAGGATCTCAGCCGATCGTGCAGACCACTCCTTTTCTTTAGCAGTTAATATCTCAATCAACCCCTGTGTGCTCTCTAACCGGGCTTCCATTTCTGCAACCTTCACAACCAGAGGTTCAGTTTCCTTGATTTTGGCAGATAACTCAGTTTCAATCTGTTCAATCTTCTTTTTCAGTCGATTATTATCTTCCACCAAAGAAATGTTTTGAGTTCTAAATGCATCCACTTCGACCTTATAAAACGAGACCTCAGCCGCCTTCTGTTCTAGCAATTTCTCGTTGGTTACTTCAAGCTCTTTGACCATATTGCGAGCTATGTCAAGTCTCTGTCTGGAACTGTTATATTCTTCTTGGAGCAATCTATACTTTCGCATCTCTTCTAAATACTTGGCTTCGCTTGCCTTCTTTTCATGGTGAAGCTTGGTATTAGTTGCCCGAAGCTGCGAGTAAATATCGCGAGAAAATTCATGAATACCGGTTCCTGCCCTTACATCGTCCGTTTCATTCCACTTGGCAAGCTTGTCAAGCAGCTCCTCTAGACGGGTACAAGCTTCGGTTTCCATAGTTTCAGTCTCTTCTTGATATTTCTTGATACTCTCTTGAAACTGTGCCCATTCAGCAGCTTCACGCTTATATGCTACGCTTGTCGACTCAAACTGAGCCTTGATGTCTTCTAGTTTCTGCTTAGTGCTGCTTAATTCACTTTCAAGCTGAGAAAGTTCTTGACGAAGCTTTGTTGCACTTTCTTCAGCTTGTTGACTCTTTCTTTCTTCCTGACAAAGCCTTTCTTGAATTTCATCCAGTGCCTGTTTCTGTTCTTCTACTGACACGTTCAGTTTTTCAACCTGATTTCGCTTCTCTTCAACTTCGAGCTCCAAACGAGTCTTGTCAGATCTCAATTCCTTGTTTGCCTCTGTAAGCTTGGTCTGAATATCCTGAAGCTTCTCGCATAATGCATCATACTCTTCCTTTGCCTTTTGAGCCCCTTCCTGAGCCTTGGAAACCATTTGGTTACGAGCTTCAAGGTCCGCGTTTAGTCTCTCGATGCGACTATTAGCTTCTTCAGCGTATTTTTTGTGCTCGTTTGCAATTTCGGTTGTCTTCTTGTTGGTGTCTTCTACAACAGACATGTATTCGTCCTTTTCTTCTTCCAAAACACGAACACGATCCTTCAGTTCAGCTATTAAATGGATATGCTCATCACATGAACCACCCGATGGGATCGTAGCATGGGTAGTGTCCATGTTAGATCTGCTGAGACTTGCTTCAGCTTCTGATAGCTTTGTTTCAGCAATAATCTTTTCTTGATTAACCTTTGACAATTTGTGTTCGGTCTCGGTAAGCTTTTCTTTAAAGAATTGAATCTGTCCCAGGGCTTCCTTGTATTTGCCTTGGACATCTTGGTAATTAATTGTCGTGGATGCTTCAATCTCCTTTTCCAAGGACACGATGACTTTCCGACAGGACTGCAATTCGCTAGTGAGTTTAGAAATTCGTTCTCTGGACAATTCGGCTTGCTTTGTAGATGTCAATTGAAGACTTTCAATACGAGAGCTTATGTTTTCCAAAAGTGTATTCAATCGTACTTTTTCTGCAATGGTTTCGTTCAGATCTTGCTTTAATGCGTCATAAGCTCTGGCCTTGGAGTCTAGCTGTAGCTGAAGATCGACTGCTTCGGCTTCAAGTTGCTTGATCCTTGTGTTGCATTCAACTAATGATTCGCGTATCTCCTTAACCTCGTTCTCTTTTGCAACAAATTGCTCATGAGCCGCAGCGCTCTCTTGTCGTGCTTCACTGAGTTCTACTTCACGTCGTTGGATGGTCTCTGTCAAACTTGTGCACTTTTGTTCGAGATAAGTGGCGCTGGTCTGGACTGAAATCAAAAGGTTTCGTGCTTCACGTTCAGACTTGCGTGATGATTGGAGCTCTTGTCGAAGTTTATCAATCTCTATGCTTGTTTCAGCACGATAAGTAGCAAAGGCATCCGTTGCCTCCTTCAGCTGACTTAGACACTTTTCTAATACAATATTTGAGTTGCTCGTCTCCTTCTTTTGTTCTAGACGCTTCTTGTAGCTTCCGATCTCTTCTTGCAAAACTTCAAGTTGTGCTTGTCTTTCGGTAAGTTGTTGATTCAAATGTAATATAACCGATTGAGCTTCTTCTAGCGCAGATGTCTGCTCTTCACTTGCAGCGGTATTGGCCGCATCCCTCGCCGCAGCTAATTCTTGTTTTAGAATAAAAACTTGTTGTGATAATGATTTATTGAGGTCGACAAGTTCAGAAACATTTTTGAATGCAAGTTTATCGTGTTCCAAATTAGGTACTATTGGCGGTTCGGACAAGAGTTTGATGGATACTTGAACAGGAGGAGGTATAGGATCTTGTCTTTTTTGAACATCGACAAGAAGATATTGAAGTTGGTAGGTTGTATTATTGAGTGCATTTTCGGCTTTTTCCTTTTCACTCTTTATCCTTGATAGTTCCTCATTGGTCTTTGCAAGCCTTTGCTCGAGATTCTGGCAGCTTTCTTCGCGTTCGTTTATGGTCTGTCTCGAGATTTGAAGCTGCTTTTTGTAATCCTCGAGTTCTTTATATAGTCTTTCAAACAGTGCTTCCTTATCATTGAGCTCTCGTGTAAGTCTTTCGGTGACTGCAGTCGAGTGCTCCACTTTGGACAAGACGGTGAAATACTTTGCCCTGATTTCAAAGTAATCAGTGTATATTTCTTCAGGATATTTGCCCAATTTTTGGTATTCGTCAATCAGAGCGAGTAGATGACTTCCTGATTCGCTGTATGGACCAGCCGGTGTGTTTTCCATGCCGGTAATATGTTTGAACTGGATATGTCGAAGGTCTTTTTCTTCTTGTAACTTTGTGTTCAATTCTGCCACTTGATTTTCCAACTCTTTGTTCTGGTTCATAAGCTCCTGTATCTTTTCCCTGTTCTCTGTGACTACTTTGTGATATTGTTCAATGTAGTCTTTATGTGATGATTCTAATGTGCGATAGGAGGATTCTAGTCTGTCAGCCTGAAGTTTCAGCTCATTGTTTTCTTTCTTTACGACTGTCAATTCTTCCTTGTTGCGACTCAAGAGTTCATTGGCATTGTTCAACCTGAACTGAAGACGATTGACGCCATCTGTCGCAATACGTTTTTCCTTTTCCACTGCAAGTAGTTTGTTTTTCAAAGCATGAATTGTGCTATTCTATAATATAATTGTCAATAAAAAGCAAAACATATCTGCTTTACTCATCCTTACAGAGTCTTGAATGTGCCTTTCATGTTCCATTTCGAGCGCTGTGTACTTTTCACGAAGAGCATCTTGAGCAATCTTTTGATTCTTGAATTGTTCTTGAAGACTGTCATTTGTCAACTGTACTGTAATATTTAGTTATTTGTAATATTGTAAGCAATCAAGACTCATTTTTACTTGAAGGTTATATCTTTCAGCTTTTGCATTTGCTTCCAGTAACAAATAGTCAATTTCCTTTTGTTTAAGCTCATCCTTTTCCTGCATCACTTTACACATCTTGTCTATATGATTGAATTAGAAACACAAGAGTTAAAAGTAGCTAACTATTACCTCTTTCTTGAGCAAGCTTCATGTGTAGTATGCCATTTTCTTCAAATAGTTTTCGTTCTGCATTCTCGGCAATGCCTAGTCTTTCTTTAATCTGTTTATTCTCATCTTCAATTTTGTGTTTTAATGTTTCAGCTTTCTCCTTTTCAGACAATGCCTCTTCAGCATCGCGTTCTATAATAAATTAATACATTTAAAAATAAATCTGCTTTTGACTTTATTATTACTCAGGGATATATTTTGTTGTTCAAGTTGTTTGACAGAAACTTCAAGCTGACAATATCTCCTTTGCAACTCTTCATAGTCAAGAGCTAATTACAAAGAATTAATTGCGCGTTTATACAGTTATGAGCGCGCTTACATTGTCTCAAGGTTATTGCCTCTGCAAAATCAGACATTGAGGGGCTGCAAAAGAAGAAGAAAAAACAACTAAAGTGTGGATTGCATAAATGATGAGGTGTGGCGTGAATTCAAAGAGCGCTTCTCTCTTGCAATCTGATTTGCCCAGTATTCTCAAGACAGTTCACTTATAAAATGTATATATATACGCGATATCAAGTATATGTGTTTTTATTTTCAAAGCAAACTCATATCAAACATATATATTTCATTAATTCTTTTTTATGATCTAATAAAGAGAAGGAAGGAATCAGCATTGGATTTGTTTGACAACATGTCTCTCTTATTGGTCAGTAGAAAAAAAATTTTATATTCTTCGAGAAATTTTGTGACGTTCAGTTATTATTGGCGGACATTACGGAGTTTTTAGTTTTTGTCTATAAAAAAGCAACCCTGTCCTTGTTCTTTTTTCTTTTCTTTACGCTTGAAAATAATATGTTACTATACTAGGGCGTAGGAGTCTCCATGACTCATAATAATCTGCGCATATCCTTAAGTAACACAAGTCAGAACAGGAGATTGTTCGAGCTATGGGTTATGAGTAGCCTGATCCTTGAGTGAAGGCCTTCGGGCTGAATCTCGGTGAAGGTTTGCTTATAACTTTTCGAATGATCTGGATGATATATTCCTAGGCTTAAGGTAGGCACTATGTGCCCTTGACCTGAGGCAAAACCATATCACCACCATTTCTGTATACATTGTAAAATCAAATGAAAAATAATCATTAAAAAAATTTTTTTTTCTTGTCTGTTTCTTTATTCCCGCTTAATGATGAAATATCACAAATATATAGAGTAATCAGTTCTTTTTTTATTCTGTTTTAAAATCCTTCATTTCATATTGTGACCGACCACTTCCTGAAGCATGCACTGTTTCCGCAATTCGATTCTTGGCCATACTCGTCGCTTCATTGAATACAGTTGTCAATATTCTTTCTAAAGGTCCCCAAAGGTTGAGAGCATATACAACGTAACCAACGGATACACACAAGATGAATAACACAAGGTAGATAGGGCTCTTCAAGATTGTCATGAATTCATTCCAACCGAGGAATATCATGGCAATAACGGCCCAAGTGGGTATCTTGGCTGTAGTGGCAACTACAGATCGTTTGGCTTCCAAATAGAATGCATCGGATTCTCTCTTGAAACGATTTGATATATCAATTTGCTTGCCTTCACCAAGAATAATAAGTGACTGTTCAAAATCAAACTCTTCAGTTGATTCAATCTTAAACTCATCATCTGAACTTGTATCAATCTTGGAGAACAATTTGATCAAAGACAAGGTCTAATAAAAAACATCGATTAGATCCCATTTTTTTTCTTTCTATGTTTTTGCTTACTTCGTCTCTAGCTTTCTTAAAATGAACATCGATATTATCTTCTGGTTTCCATACTTTTGGAAGACCTTTTTCATCATATCGAAACTTTTCTTCAAATCTGATACACGTTTTAATAAATGTGAGGCTGTCATTTTCCTTCCTTTTTTTTATACCTGTTTCTCAGCTTCAACAGTAGCAGATTATCAGCTAATTCCTCGTCTATTTTTTTTCTTAATACCAACCAAGTTTGTCTCTTCAGGTTAGCAGCTGATGTTTGAGCTTCTTCAGTTGAAAGATCAAAGCCTTTAAATTAAAATGTGAGCAAACAGTATCATGATCTCAACAAAAATACTTACTTTCTGCTTGTTTGGCCAGTACTTTCTCAGCATCAGCCAATGTGGCGTTATAGATACTGATAATCTTGGTCCACATGTCTGGTCCAGGCCTGTTGAGTTCAAGTGCGACAGGATCCGTAAGCTCGGTTTCTATTTGCTTTTCAAGTGCTTTGCTCATCTTTGTAAATTCCTTTGTACGCGCTTTTGCAGCCAATTCTTTAAACTCTTCCTTCAAAGCTTCTTCTTCATGGGCATAGGACCAATCTGTTCCTTCAATGACCATGGCTGCAACCAGAGGTATAAATAAGAGATACTTATAGATTATTTCAACATACCTTTGGCACCATTTTCAAAAAATGCAGTTGCTTCTTTCAAACATGATGAAACTACCTCAGCAAACTGATACTTGGGCTTCTTTAGCTCTTGTTGAAGTTTGTCATTAAACAAATGAATCGCTTTCTTGTGCAAGTTTTTCAATTGACCCACAAAGTAAACTCCCAATTGTGTATTCAGTTTAGTCACCATTTCAACTCGCTTTTTCTGATACACGCCTTGGTTATAACGAGAAGCACTCTTGTCAAACGATTGTAGCGCTTCCTGTTGAAGTTTCTTCATTCTCTCTCCCAAATCATCCATAATCTCACCCTTTTCAAGAATAGGTGATTTGAAGAGTGCAGTGCCTTCTTGGAATACTACAAATGCAGCCTAGAAGAAGGGAATTAGTATGCTGTCATGTGTATAATGGTTCGCTTACATTAGCAATCTCATCACATCTGTACTGAGCCAATAACTCTTGTTGTGTAGGCAAATCAAGATCTTTGTTTGTCAGAATTTTATCCCAGATACTTGAAGCATACAAGTGATACCCATCAGCAGGAATTCGCTTGTGATATTCAGGACGGAATACGAAATCAGGATGATTAGGATCATTGAATCTAAAGAGAGTGATGAATACGGCTATATTCTTACTTTTTTTTGTTACCTCTTTCGAAGCTTGGCTACTTCTTCATCAAACTTATCAGGCAATAAAATCTTGTGAGGTAAGCCAGTAAACATGAAATCAAAGTAATCTGTGATCTTGCAGTCTTCAAGTCCCTCAGGCTAACACACACACATACACACATTAATCAAATGCTATCCACATTTAAGAATGTATATATATATATACCTTTGACAAGCTTTCCCAGATCTTTTCAAGGTCAGTACGGAGTGTTCTTGCCAAGTTTTCCAAAGGTGTTGCGCCAACAAAGTCACGGATAACCATAAACAAGAGGGTCTTTTCCTTACTTTATATTTGCGTCAGATCTTCCACAATATATGCACGTGAATATTTATTTTTGTTTTTACCCTCTTTGGTTTTGGAATAACTGCAAGTTGACTTCAAAGACGGTCTTTAGCAATCCCATATTAGCGCCTTGATAGAGGCCGACCTGGTGTTCCCAAAGGTTGAGAATGATCACTTCGCTTGTGGCCATAGAGAATAAGGCCGATTTACGTTCAAAGTCTTGATCTTCTCCACGCTCACGACCGTCCGTGCCTTCGACGTCCATCACGAGTACGTGCATACCTCGACCACGAGACAGCCAGATACCCTTGGTCGTTTGCTGTCGTTGGTTTTCATTCATTTCTGCAAACCTGGTGCCAAACAGCTTGTTCAAGAGGGTACCTATTGTTTGCATTAGTCATTTGTGTGTATGTGTGTGATTATTTGCTAAAGTGTATATTACTTTTGCCAGTGCTTTGAGAACCAAACACAGCTACGACATCATATTTAAAACCTGCATCAGCTAAACCCCACTTTCCCATATACTCAGGAAGCTGCTCACTATTGCCATGGTATTAGTTTAAAAGAAAGAAAAGCAATTAGAGTTCATTACGTGAATTTCTGATGTTCGTCAATAACTTGTAATCTAGGAATTTCAGCAACATCAGAATCCCAATCTTCAGTAGGAGTAGAGCTAACCACTTCCTTTATTTCAACAGATTGTTCTTCGTTTGGTTTCGCTTCCATTTTGTTATTTAGAAAAAAAAAAAGAAAAAGAAAGAAGTAGTAGAGAATAAGGAGAGACTTTTAAAGTTCACTTCGGAGTTGAGGTTTGTCACTTATAAGTTGTTTATGCGACCTTGACCTTTTTTCAAGGGATGGGAGGATTCAGAGAATGAACAACGGTGCTTTATATGAATGCATCATACATCTTTAAGGGAGAAACCCTTTTTTCATCATAGATACACATACACACACGTCATCCTCCTCCCTTTTTATTTTTTATCGTTCGTGGTACAAACGGCTTGACTTTTCTCTCTTTTTTAAAAAATGAAAGTTGTAATCACAGGGGCATCAGGTTTATTAGGCAGACAAGTCGTCAAGGCATTCAAGGACTGGGAAGGTAAAAAAAAAAAAAAAAAAACAAGCAAAAGTAAAAGGTATTGAAATAACCATTTTATTGTAGTGGTTGGAACAGCTTTTTCACGCGCAAAAGATGACTTGGTTAAAGTAAAATGATATATATATATATATATATATATATATGTTGATATGAGACAGGATGTCATAATATTATAAATATAGCTTGATTTGACTGATAAAGATGCAGTGGAAACTTTTTTCAATGAACAACAGCCTAATGGTAAAAATAATAATGGTATAAAAACACTAGACGCGTAATATACATCATACAGTCGTTGTTCATTGTGCGGCTGAACGTCGTCCTGATGTGGCAGAAAAAGATAAAGATGGCGTGTTGCTCGTAAGTAACATAAAAGGACGTCGAATGTATATAAATGACTTTATATCAGCTCAATGTAGAAACTTCTAAACGACTGGCAACTATCTGTAAGTCACGGGATATCATGCTTATATACATTAGTACAGACTATGTATTCGATGGTACTTCACCTCCATACGAGATTGAAGATAAACCAAACCCACTTCAATTCTATGGGCAAACAAAATTGGCTGGTGAAAATGCTGTCAGACAAGTCTATCCAAACGCAGTCATTCTCCGTGTGCCTATTCTGTGAGTAACATTGAATCTTGATCCATTTCATAATAATAACTTGTAAAAAAGCTATGGTGAGACTGAATACAATGGTGAATCAGCCGTGAATGTACTGATTGATGTTGTGCTGGTAAGTATACATATATCTTTATCCTTTATTTCTTTATCAACGTCATTATAAATAGGCCCCTCAAAAGCCGGTCAAGATGGATAATGTCGCTCAAAGATATCCTACAAATGGTAAAAGAGGATGACCTTTTATTATCACACTTATTCAAAGTATATAGTTGCTGATGTGGCCCACGTGATCAAGGATTTGGCAGGTAAGATCTACACTGTTTTTAAATAATTATATATTCATTACATGTATATAGTCAAAAAGATGGTAAACAAGCAAGATATTCGAGGCATCTATCATTTCACAGCTCAAGAATGTATGACAAAGTATCAAATGTGTGGTAAAAAAAAAAAGGCTAATAATAACGTCTAACCAGAGATCTTTGCTGAGTTGCTCAATGTTCCTATACATCATCTTACTCGTCAAGATACAGTTGACCCTGCAGCAGCAGTGTCGCGACCTGAAAATGCTCATTTGTCTGTAAAAAGTCTTGAATCTGCCGGAATTAATACTCAATGTGTCAAATTTGCTGCTTGGTTTGGAGATTATTTCTCATCTTTCAAACCAACCAAACAACTTTAAATTAAAGCTGTTTTATCCTCTCTTTTATGTATACGCTGATTATTCCTTATTATTTTTGAATGGGTAACCAAGTGTATAAACAAAACGTTTCACAAGAAAAATAGCTAAAGCTTACATTCAGCACAAAGAGTGTAATACAGCAATAAGTCTCTTTTTTTCTTTTCTTCTCTTTTCTTCTTCTTCTCAAATAAAAGCTCCATGACAGATAAACTAGTGGTCCCTTTGAAGAAACACTGGATATTAGGGGCTCTCTTTTTTGAGATGTAAATAAAAGAAAATACTATTTTATACATACTAAATCAAGCCATCCATAGATTATTTGGATTCGGCTATCATGCTATTCCAGCCTTAACCCTCCTTTACTGCCCTATCATCTTGAACTATTGCCGATCTCAACCCTATACACACACGCTTTTGGCTTACGCAATCAGTAGTATTTCACTTGCTCTATGTTTTCTTGGTACCTTTGCGATGGTCGAAGGTGGCCCTAAATTTCCAAAGGCTCTACTCATATTCAGTAACACTGATCTTTCATTTTAAACACACACAAAAAAACTAAAATTATCTGCATTAGGCTCTTCGTTTGTCCTCAATTGGGTTCCCTTTATTCCCTTTACAGCTGACAGGTACTTGGTACAGCAAACCAACTGTATCTGGACCCGTGTTCTCTTTTTCCCCTGTGTTTGGACAGCTTCATTTTATCTATTCCAAAAATACTGTGGTCTTGGTGACTACCTCACCTTCACAACCCCTTTGATCACTTGGCCTGAATTTGGTTTAGCAGCGTCTCTCGGCGGTCGGTCATTCCTTGACTTTTTGACCGCCCTCTTTGGCACAGTCTTGGTGGAGCTCCCTGATTATCCCTTTCATCTTTTGAAAAGGGGACAGGATACGGTCGCAGCAACGGATTATGATGATCAAGGAAAGCCAGTATACAAAAATACATGCTCATCGCTCTTGAAGCATCCTGTCACTGCGTATATCTTGTTTATGTTTGCTCTGTATACTTATAACGGTGCTCGCAATAATATCCTACCAGGATCCATGTTCCAGGCCCCTCAATCTGCCTATATCCCCAAAAGTGTACCTGTTAGCTGTGTAGTTAGTTACGGACATGACGTACCTGATAAATTAAACTATGACATCTGGTTTAACAAATCAGCCCATACAGCAGAGGTTTATTATATTTAGTTTTTGAAATCATGTGTACACTAACTCCTCTTTTTCTTAAAGGCCGGATCTAAATTAGTGCTGTGGTCTGAAGTTGCAGTTGTAGCAACTGATGCAAAAGAGGAATCTCTTTTATTACAACGCGCAAAAGAGTTTGCCATCAAGCACAAGGTCTACTTGGCTATGACCTATCACCTTCTTGGACCAGTCGAGAAGAACAAACTTGTCGTTTTTACCAAGGAAGGTGATATTGGGATTGACTATAATAAAGCGCATCCAGTTCCTACGGTGGTAAGATGACACCCTATTGTTTTGCTCTCTTAACTTTTTTTTTATATTACAACAGGAAATGCAACCCCCTGGTGAACTCATCATTCCGTATATAGACACTGAAGAGTTTGGTAGAATTGGTGTTTCTATATGCTTTGACATGAATTACCCAGAATTTATGCTTCAAGCAAGCAAATTAAATATTGATGTGATGCTACAGCCTGCCTGGTCTTGGGGTAAGTAAAAGAGAGTTATTTAACCTCCTTTGAGCAGTATCTAATTTCATACAAGGCCCTGTCACGATTTATCATACTCAATCAGAACGCCTGAGAGCCATCGAAAACGGATTCACCTTATTCAGATGCACCACGTATGGACTCTCTGGTATTTATGGACCAACCTACAATGTCGTTTACGATCAAGTGGTAGCCACGTATCCTGCAGAGTCTTACTTGTTTTACTTACCTATCAGAAAACGAGTGGCTACACTTTATGGATATATTGGTGATTCTTTTAGCTATCTAACCGTTTTTATTACCTTTACGGCATTCATTTTATTTATTCGTCAAAAGTACAAGTCTAATCGACTGTCCATCTAGAGCAAAATAAACAACTTCTTATATCTTGACTCTCCCTTTATTTGCCTGCATGATAGATCCTTTGGATCAAAAATACGTCATATAAGAATACTTAAGAGTATTATATAGATTGGAAATCTGGGAAAGAACTCTATGAATATTCTGATTGTCAAAAGCACGCTCCCGTTTCTCTAATGCAAGAACCAAAACTATTTTTATACTAGATGCATTGATTTGAACGTGGTGTATATGATATGAATCATTATAACAGTAATAGTTACTCGTATAAAATTGATAAGCAATCATATTGACCACATTAAATCATACTGACAGAAAGCTCTCGCTCAAATCTAATTTAATAATATTCATCTCTTCTTTTTATAAAGAATGAAATTCGCAAATAATCGACTTATTTGACTCTTACAAAGGTAAATTTGAATACCACAGAACGAATATATGAGTCAAACCTTTTGCACAAAGTATGACTCTTCGTGTACAGAGCCTTAACGATGGTCTTTATAAGTTATCAAAGACACTTCGCGATATGCTCTCTCTCCTTGTAGAAGCAAATCCAATACAAGTGAACAATCTTGCAACCATTGGGCTTTGAATAATGAATAAGCAAATAATGCTGCAGTAGGGAAACATTCGTAACTCCTATGTCAATAAAATTTGTCGTCAAAAAAATTGTAATGAATCATGTAGCTACCCTCGTTCAATAAGTTCAGTACGCAGTATAAAGTGTAAAGCATCAAAGGTTTTTATTTAAAAAAAAAAATACAACAAAATAATCAAAGCCTCTCTTCGTTTCAAAGCACTAGGCTTTTACTCACAGGAATAACCACGAGAAGGTGGAGGCTATCTATTCCTAAACCTCAGATCCCAACATGCTGAACGTTTTTCACCACGCGAATTACTAGTCAGAACTTCAAAGAGCGTCTTCAACTAGGCCTTTGGAGGCTGAAGCACTAGAGAAGATAACGTTGGTACTTTTCTTTAACGCATTACTAATCAGAACTTCAAAGAGCGTCTTCAACTAGGCCCACGTTAAAGAAAAGCCCCCCAGAACCCAACCGTTAATCTTCCCACCATCACATTACTGATCCGAGAAACCCAGTAGAGGCAACATCTGCAACCAGGCCCATGACAGCCCAAGTACCAAAAACATCCAGCATGACTTTCGCTACAAAATTACTAGTCAGAACTTCAAAGAGCATCTTCAACTAGGCCCAATGTAACAAAAGCGAATAAAGAAAAAAAGATAAAAAACAAAAATGCTGAAGCTATTTGATGTAAGGCGCACACCCTAAAAAAGGCGTTAATTGCATCGGCTTTTAAATCGTGGAATGTTAAATCATTTTATTTGCAACCATCGAGTGTCTAGTAAATCAGACATACAAAAACGACAATTTTTTTTTTACAGCAACATCTTGTAAACAGTGGAATAAATCAGTGAGCGCGTGTGTATATCAGAAAGTAAAGTATATATATTGGAATAAAACATGCCATTCCTTTTCATGTGATGTAATACAGCTTGTCTCAGCGTCACAAGTCGTGCTTCGAGTTCTTCTTTAGAATTCTCATCTCTCTCATCTTCCCCATCTTCTCTTAGCTCAGCTATTTGACCAAATGCAGTTCTTATGACGTCCTTGATCTCATTTTGTGTTGAAATGACTGTAAGAATGAGTCCGTTGAGTATATCTTTACAAATGAAACTTTCTTGGGACATGACAAAAAATTTAAAGACCAGTCACTACTTTGAGGTTTGTGTAGATATGTATAGATCGACGTAAAAATGTGTAGATTTGTGTAGAAACCTTTAATTTCGAACTAAAAATCTCCTATTACATGCATTAAAGAACCCCCCCAAAAAAAGGAGAAGCATGCAGAGCTTGTAATTTAACTACTACAAGCTTTATTATTGTCACATTTATAAAGCATTCCTTCTTTCACATTATATTTTGGAACGCTGTTCTTCACTTTAGTTAACATCAACTCGCACTAGACACACTCTTTAGTACTTATAATATTTGAGTGAGATACAGTTAAGAATACACACTATATAGCCCTTTTACTAGTAAACTAAAATTATATTCTGTCATCTTTATTATCTTATTCTATTTAAGCTTCCTACTGAAGAATTACATACTCTACATTTGACACCCTATTCCTCTTAGTTAATATTCCAAATTTAAATTCGTTTAAACAAAAACATGAGTGAACATATCTTATTCAAAGAAGGTATTCCAATTATCAATAAATAACCTTTTATATATATACTCATTTCAACTTTTATTATATTTAGAAATTTCTTGTTCGATTATAAAAGTAGCTAATGAGCAAAAGGTGGTGCGTTGGGAAGACCTAATTAATGATTTGGCGGAATTGATAAAAGAAAATTACAATGGCAAAAGCGTCAAAGTTTACCGTGGCGATTGGAAAAGAAAAATCAAAGTTATTGTAAAATCCATGGGATTTAAACTTGAACAATTTAATGATGACATATTTGTCCCCTTGGAAACCACAAAAAATATAGAGTCGTCCAAAGGCTCACACTATACACTATCAGCATCTGAAAAGCAACGAGTTGTCGACCTCTATGACAACATCGCTGAAAAATGGGTTCTGTCAACAGGCAAGATTGTCGACGATGAAATGAAGAAATTGGCAGAGAAGTGTTGCTATGAGCATCCTGTGCACTCTATGATTCTGGACGCAGATGATCCCATTTGGAGAAGTTACTTCACAATTGCTGAATTAAATGAAATCAAATCATTTCGTGTAAAAAGCTTACCAGACATTCCTGAGGACATCCAAGAATACCTAAATGAGTATAATAAAGAGTGGAATTCAGGAAAAGAGCTCTATGAGTATGCTGATAGTCAAAAGCACAATCCCATTGCTCAATTCAATCACAAATGGATTTGCCAAAGCATATTACAAGCATCAGAGCTATTTCTATACGAAGATACATTGACTTTGAACGAATATTCTGAGGCAGATCTTCTGCATGAAGTATGGCCCTTCGTTTACAAAGCCTTCAAAAATGGTGGAATTAAAGCGGCTCTTGGTGAAAAGTCAAGTGTTGCAGTCACGTTGGGTAGAAATAAGGAAAGAGGTTTAGAAGCAGTAGAAAGAAGAACAAGAAAAGCAATGGGAGCAAGGGTCGATATACTTTTTAAAGTATTGAGCAAAGAGCTTGTTTCAGGCGAAGTTGGAAAAAGTAAAATTACCGCAGTTGACGATAAATATCTCAACGATGGTCTTAGCAAACTGCCGAAGACACTACGCGATATGCTCTCTCTCCTTGTTGATGAAAACCCAATGCAAGTGAATAATCTTGCAACAATTGGGTTTTTGATGATGGGTAAGCAAATAATATTGCAGTATGGAAGTATTTAATAATAGAGTTCATTAGGATTGAGCATAGAACTTTTTGTAATGGATATCCCTGTTGGTTATTACATAACCCGAATTTTAAGAACGCAAAAACTTGAATTTCCCAACAGTATCAATACGTTTGCTATTGACTTTATCCCTCTCCTGGAAGTTGTCTGGAAGGGTAAAGAATCTATGAAAAGCGTCGTTAAAATCTTAAGCAACAGAAAACGAAAGGCTGCTGAACTGCGTACTTCTGTGGATAATAATTATGTACTATTACCTCCATCTTTCGTTCGTAATTCTTATGCCTAAGCAGCATAGCTTCTATGCCAATAAAATTTGTCGTCAAAAAAAATTGTAATGAATCATGTAGCTACCCTCGTTCAATAAGTTCAGTACGCAGTATAAAGTGTAAAGCATCAAAGGTTTTTATTTAAAAAAAAATACAACAAAATAATCAAAGCCTCTCTTCGTTTCAAAACACTAGGCTTTTACTCACAGGAATAACCACGAGAAGGTGGAGGCTATCTATTCCTAAACCTCAGATCCCAACATGCTGAACGTTTTTCACCACGCGAATTACTAGTCAGAACTTCAAAGAGCGTCTTCAACTAGGCCCAATGTAACAAAAGCGAATAAAGAAAAAAAAAAGATAAAAAACAAAAAGGCTGAAGCACGGATTTTACTATCCGCACAGCATTTGTCTAATATGCACAACACTGAAGTATAAGAGAAGTATATGTCGATGAGTCCGTAATAATCCTTTTATTATGCTGCATGTAAAGATTGTTTTCTTCATTTGCCACGAATCTCTTTCTTTTCCCTATTTATAAACTGATTATTCCATCTTATGCTTTCAAGGTAAAATAATTTGTTTTTAGGCAATATCACAGTGTTGATGGTTTTGAGGTTATAATAATGGAATCATCGGGCCATTTTCTGCTGAATACGTTGAGCATTCAATCAGCGATACTTGGAAGTTAATAAGGATGACCAGCAACCCCTTGAGGAATGAGATACTGAAGTGCCAAAGATGCGTCGCTGGAAGCGGTCAGAGGATTATCATTCTTTGGGACACAGCGTATCCGCGACAAAATCACGCTGTTAAAGACCAACCTTTGCAATGCAAGCAAATGGCAAGTTGTTGAACTGCGAGATATAACAATCCCTGTGACTTGGGACGCAAGAGCCAATATGATGCCTGTGCTTTAGTTGCTGGCAACTCTTCAGGTAAGTACCTTAAAGTATAAAATTACTGATGCTTTCATTAATTGTTTTTTAGAGCGAGTACGATGTACAAAAGAGAGGCCTGAAAAAGCTGCGACGAGAAAGCAATCTTCTTTTCGATATGGATCTTATTTAGATTTTGAACATCCAAAAATACGAATCTTTGCTTTTATCAATACGAACAAGTGCGATACTCTTGCTCCCTTGACAAATTACAGGTTTTTCATTTTTTATGCCTTTTCATCCTTTATCCAATAAAAATCGTTTATTGTCCAATTAAATGTCCGTAGCGGCTACTGAAAGTGACTGTGATATTTCCTGATATGGGCCCTCACCCCCTCCCTCAAAGACATACACAAAAAATCTTTTTCCTCATGTCAACATTCCGTACATTTTCAGGAAAGTTTTTATCAAAACTTGAGAATGCCAAATTTGTAGAAGCAGATGTAAAACCACAACTTGTGTATAATGAAGCAAAGAGCAAGTCATTTTGGCGACCTCCTCGACTTTCAAGACGTATTCAAGCTGATTTAAGAAAAGCATGCATTCAAGAAGGAATTGAACCTACCAGTATTGGATTATTACCAGAGACAGCACCTAAATCACTTAGATATAAGCCTAATAAGTTGGAGAAGCATGAACGTATGAGAGCTGAAAGACAAGCTACGATCCAACGTAATATGGAAAAGATGCCACAGACAATCCAAGCTTGGAAAGAGGTAAATGAAAGAGATTACCGAGTATTATTTTAAATTAATCACTTTTTATTATATAGGAAAAATTAAAAGAACTCGCCAAACAAAAGTCTTCAATGCCATTTTAGATTTTAAGCATTATTTTATAATAAATCTGTATGTACAAATATCGCAAAACACTACCAATCTATTGTGATGTGCTATGATCCATTACGAGCAAAAGAATGTCGGAATAGAGTCAATTGTGACATGTCTGGGGTTTAAACTACATCTTTATCTCTCTCTTTCTTTTTCTCTTTCTCATATTTTATGGTTGTTCAATCCATTCCTATTGTTGATTTTGCCAAATTTGAAGAGAATCCAAATAAAGTAGCTCAACAGGTATTCGATGCTTGTAAGTCTATCGGATTCTTTTACATCATAAACCACACCATCCCTCAAGGAGATATTGACAAGGCCTTTGAGTTGGTAATTATTATTTCAAACAAGAATAAAAATCATGCCATCAAACATAACATCTTAATAGAGCAAAGAGTTTTTTAACTTGCCACAAGAAGAGAGACGCAAATACTTGATTAGTAAAGATAATCATGGCTATTCAGAACTGTACAGTGAAAGGTATAAATGAGTAATTGTATGCTAAATGGAAAGTACTAAAATAACTAAAGACTGGATCCTGAACATCAGAAACAAGGAGATCATAAAGAGTAAGTATTAAAGTGTTGATGAACATTAGAGCCAACACCATTCGCAGGGGCTTCAACTTTCGCAACTTCATCAATGGAGAGCCTTTTGAACCCCTTCCCTCTGTCTTTGATAAGGAAAAGGACTTTTTGTGTTATTTCTCACAGGTACCTAACCATCTAATATGTATAACATGTATATGTAAAGATAAAGCCATAGATATGTTATAAAACAGCTCTACAAATATTACTTGCATTTGGTATTGCATTAGAGGTATGTCATCACATAATGTCTATTTTGTGAAAAAATGACTTTTTCATCGAACAGATCCCAGAAGATAAAGGCGGTAAAGAATTCTTTGTGAAGGCTCATTCATATGAAAACTCTGGAGATATCCTTCGTTTTCTTAAATATCCTCGAGGAGGAGAAACTGATGTCAAGGATCCTGTCAGAGCTGGTGCTCATTCTGACTATGGATCAATCACCCTGCTGTTTCAAAAAGACATTCCCGGCTTGGAAGTACAAGCAAGTCGCACCGAATGGATTTCAGCCCCATTGATCGAAGGTGCTATCTTGGTCAATGTAGGCGACCAGATGGAACTGTGGACAAATGGACTATTTAAATCTACTTTACATCGTGTTGTGTTTTTACCTGAGCATAAACACCTCGATCGCTACTCAATGCCATTCTTTGTTCATCCTGATGATAATGTCCCATTATCCCCTGTCCCTTCAAAGCATGTTGATCAATCATCAAAGACGGATGGTCATACTCTTACTGCAGGAGAACATTTGAGAAATCGATTGGATGCTACTTATACTTATGGAAAGAAATGAAGAAAATAAAAAACCTCCCCATTGACTACGGTTTCTCTTTTTGAAATTCTAAAAATGGCTTAAACTCTATTTTATGTTTAATGCATTGAAAAGAGTGACATCAACCATTTTCTTTTTTTTTGTCTTTTCTTTTATATTCAAATAATGTCATATGCATACGATCAAAACCCATGGCAAGAACAGAATGGCCCAAAATATGGTAATGCTTATGAGGATAGCAACACAGGAAATTATGGAAACGCATATGGACAACCACAGATGAATATGCCCATGCCTGGATTTAGTGCAACCGGCTACAACAATGCTTGGACAGAATCGAACAAGACAGAATACGACCCTGTACCACCACAGAATGTAACTCCAAATAATGCATATCAATATTCTGGCACGCCATACGGTAATCAACCTCAGAATATCGGAGGAGCCTATTCGAATATACCTGCAGAGACAACACTGGCCGAACCTAATAAGGCCAATAATGAAAGTACAAGCCCTCCTACGAATGATAAACACAGATCGCCTGACCAAGGACGATTCTGGTTGTCTCTCATCACACTTTTGGCTAGTATAGGACATCTCGGTTTTGCTGCTGGTGCACGTCCGGTAAGTGACAAGTTGAGTAAATTATGTAGGGGCTAACATATGGTGAACAGTATTCTAATCAGAATGTACCCTTTCCATCATCTGCTTGCTTTTATTATTTGTGGGCAGTGGTATATAACTAAAAAAGAACACATCTTTTTACGTGTGCACTCATTTGTTTAATTAGGCAATACTTTCAATCATCTACTCTCTATTCCACGTCTTACTCTACTTTTACCGTGCAATAGTAACCAAGTACAAGACGAATAGACCAATCCTATTCACCTTTGACATAATCTTCGCTATTTTATGGGGAGTTGGACTAATAGTCGAAGCAGTAAAATACAAATGCTGGTGGGGAGGCCGTTTTTGTAATTTCTATAACGTAAGTCTTTTTTGGGGCTTTTTAGCTTTTGCTTGTTATATACTTGCCGTTGCTTGGGACGTGTTTGATGGTTGCAGAAGAAAGTAAATCGTTATGGGAGCACAGTTTTTTAATTCGATCAATAACAAAAAATAAAAATCGCACATAAATAGAAGCTAAAAAGTTTGTCATAATTGGAAGTCGTACTCGGTTGCCTCCGCTACATGTTCCAATAAGGTGATAAAGGCTCTTCCGTACCACGCTTTGTTTTTAGATAATAATTAACAAGTACAAATTTGACAATCGGCCCATTTGGGCCGACTATAAAATAATATTTTGATCAGATAAAAAAATCATTTACTGCTGGTATCCATTTCAATACGTATTATTAGACATGTATTCTATCTATAGATGAGTTTTTATAAAGAAGTGAGCACGTTTGCCTCATAACCATATCGCTTTGAAGTTGATCGGTTTTTCAAAAAAATCAATCGGCCCATTTGGGCTGACTCTTTGATGAATAAAGTGACATAGCAACTTGAAGCTTTGTTATTGAAAAAAAATAAAAACATTGTAGACATAGTTATGAAGAATTATTTTTAATAGAGCTGGCGAAGCCAGACAGCCTTCAAGTGTTGATTATGATAGTCGAAGCACAAGGGGGTTGTGGGGCCACAACTACAAAATTCTTCAACACGCTTGCCATTAGTGCCACTTTCTTTGCATTTGTGGCATATCAATCTCTTTATTTTATTGCCTGCATTACTCATGGAGATGTAGGAATGGTTAGAGTCACTTCTAAGCATTCGGTTGCTGTCTTGGGCCACTTCATTGTATCTCGACTTCAATTTCTTACAATGCTCAAGCATGTTGATGGCCAAATCATCCTTAAAGGATGAGTAATCCCTTGAAGCACCTTTCTCAGAGAAGACCTTGAAGGAACTGTATGCATTAGCTTCGCAAAGGCCCAAGAAGAAACCAAAGAAGCACATTTTCCATCTCTCGGTTGAGACAATGCCGTGTTAGGAGGTCAGGTTATCACGTAAATTATTTGCAGCATCCACAGAACCTATAGCGAAATAATTGACTTCAACACACGCATTATATTGCAGCTATTATACCTACTTTTGTGTCTTTCGAATCCATCTATTACTTCTGGACGCTTGATAGTAACTAGGTTACCGTCAGAAGACTTGAAAGTCTTTTCACCAACAAGTCTAGTGGTGCCACATGAGGATACAAAGGCTTTTACTTTTTGAGCCCGAAAAGCGCAAACAAACATTTTCCCGTTGGCTGTATCTTTTTTCATAGTGTAGTAGCTACCATAGTTAGCATCTGCGCTCTCCACAATGTCTGTTTCAGGCATGCCCTGAGGTCAGTAACGACGCTTGGTGACCTGCATAATCGAATAATGGCCATGATTCATCAGCATTGAGATCATGTCAGGCGAACTGAACCAAGGATCAGTAATGACCGTTCGACCAGAGTCAAACCAAGGTTTTACCAAACGTTTTACAGTAGCCCTCAGCTTCTTTATACCAGGATCTTTGTCAAATTCTTTTGGGCAAGGATCACTGACTGTATCGACACGCAATATGCAGTAGCAGTGGTTGTCAGCCAACGTCTTAAACTCTTGTCCGATTGGATGTGGCTTTCTAGGAACCTTCTTTAAATTTGGCGTACTAGCACCTAACCATTGGTTCATGGAATCATCGATAACAAGATATTTTCCTGGTATTATACACTTAGGCATGTGATCATTAAAGGCTTGGATGGTGGACCTAATTTGATAAAGAGGGTCAAGCTCCTGAGCCTGCTTTGAAGGAATTTCAAAAACATGCATCTTCATGATGTCACTGAATCTGTTAAAAGACATATATTGACTAAAGTCAACATTCATCAAGAAAAAAGACTGGTCTTGTCTCCAATGTGCCTTTCTATCACCATGTCTGGCCACAGTCATTACCGTCAAGAGTGCGATCTACATGAGATATTCATGAAAGGTAATATCTTCCCAATAGCCGAGACTTCTTGCATGAAGGCTGGTGTTGTGGATAATGGAATAAACATGGTCCACAGGAAGGAAGAACAAGAAATAATCCAATGAAGAGACATATCTTCCATTGTTCATCATTAAACGAGAGTTCAAGGAGGTGAATCCTTCTGCTGAACCACTTAGACGAAAGTTCATATAGGCCTCACCAACAGTCCACCCACGACTTGAAGTCAAATCAATGGATTCCTTTTCCTCATCTTCATCCACTGTATCTTCCAACAAGCCTTCAGCTTCGACTACATTAGTGTCGACAACAATTTCCTGAGCCACAGGAATTGAAAGAGGGCCGACATACTTGATGGCGCCTTCACTAAGCTTGAGGATGTGGCCATTTGCTTCATCCAACAGTACATTATACATCACATTACCATTTTCCTCAGATCGTGCAATCGTCTTTCCTTGGAAGCTCAACTTAGGCTCGTTCCAGTCGTGCTCACGGAGTAATATAGTTTTCACTGTATTATCAGTGATGAAGCGCTTGCTAACTGATACTTTTACGTTGACATCAAGTTTTTTATTGACAGGAGGCGTGTTTGAACTTTAATTTTACTGATGTTGTTTGAGAGATTTAGATCTGTTTAATACTATAAAAATAATCTAAAAGCTCAACGAAATAAAAATACAGGTCTTAAGCTTTGTAGTAACCACATGCGTCGTGTAAACTGAGGAGGCCTGCCTAATAAAAAAAATGTAGTTTATATCGACCCATTTGGGCCGACTTGTTAATAAATTATAATCTTGTGCCTATTTCAACCTTGGTTATCTCCATTTTAACGTCGGATGTGGTACGTTGCTCTCAGAACCGCGTTTTTTTTTTTATTATTTGTAGTTTTAATAAAGTTAAAGCCTCTATGTTTAGTTATCTTTTCATTGCTATACATATTTTGGTTGGGATCAGTTTATTTATTTAAATCAAGGAAGGGTCGTACCACATCTTCCGTCTCCACTTTGATAACTGCTAGACTCTATTTTTCATATGCCGCATGCAAAACATAATTTTTTTCACAACACTTTTTTTCTCCTTTTTTTCTCTCTTTCTCTCTCTTTTTCTATGACTGCTATCACCGAAGAAACTTACAAGACAAGCGCCGACTACATTGCTTCAAGATTACCTGAAGAATTCAAAAAAGTTAAGCTTGGAATCATTTGTGGATCTGGACTTGGAGGTTTAGTTACAACTATTGATCAGACAACAAAGGTTGAATTCCTCTACAAGGACATTCCTGGATTTGTGTCAAGCACTGGTAATTATATATTTGTATTGCTTTGACAATATATTAAAATTATACGATAGTTATCGGTCATGCTGGTAAGCTTGTCTTTGGTCATCTTGGTGAATCACGTACACCTACTGTATTCATGGTGGGTCGATTCCATTTTTATGAAGGCCATAGCATGCTTCAAGTCACCTTCCCTGTTCGTGTGATGGCATTACTTGGTGTTCAATACTTGATTGTCACTAATGCTTGTGGTGGTCTTCAACCTACATTTAAAGTGGGTGATCTCATGATCATCAACGATCATCTATCTATTCCCGGTATGGTCGGCAACAATCCTCTTGTTGGTCCCAACATGGAAGCCTTTGGCACTAGATTCCCTGCTGTGTCAGATGCTTATACCTATGGCTTACGTAAACTAGCTTTCAAGGCAGCGTTTGATGTAGGCATCTCCCCTGATGACATCAGAGAGGGCGTATATTGTATGGTGTCAGGACCAAGCTTCGAAACAAGAGTAGAGGCTCGTTATTTGGCATCGATTGGTGCAGATGTTGTTGGCATGTCAACTGTCCCTGAAGTCGTCGTGGCTCGCCATGCAGGTGTTAAAGTATTGGGTATCAGTTTGGTCACGAACGCAGTTATCAATGCTAGAGGGAAGGATGCTAAACTTGAAGTATTAAGAGAAATGGGTTTGACAGATTGTGTGGATGAAGAACCAGATACTGAAGTATATATTGCAAATCATGAGGAAGTGTTGGAGACTAGTGCTAAAAAATCCAATGACATGCAAAGAATGGTCGCTCGTTTTGCTGATTTGTTAGCTGCCTCGCCTGTCTAAGATAGAACCAATTAGAAATGGATCTATGTTTAAATAAACTTTTTTTTTTTTGCTTTTATTCTTTATAGGAACTGGATCAAACGCTGCACTTGAGCATAACTAATGATTCAGTCCTTACACGACCCTTTTTCTTTCTCACAGTTCTTTCAACCTCCGACATTCGTTGACAAAACAAAAGTCTCAGAGATTTTAAAATACATAATTAACCAAAGAGAAACACACTCTGTGCTCAATATTTTACGAATAGATATTATCTCAAAGCAGTGAACTAGTCGTCACGACTTGGATAGACGCAAGTTTTGAGCCTAAAACCAACTATATTTTAAACTAAAATGAGACAGTTGTATTCATTGGACGTACAACTCCCCCCTTTTTTTTGTGAACATACATGATCCACAGCTACGGAAGAAAAAAGTTTAAAACACCTGCAGTCGCCATTACTTCTATCCGAGTTAACTCTTGGAAAGATCCAGATGTTTCCGTTATTATCGGCGCTTAAAATGGCATACGTAGCAGTATTCTCTTTGAACGTATCTACAATGGTGAGAAACCATGAAGATAGCACAGTACTAAATGCTTTCGGCTGTCCTTTTCTCACTTTTATATACATATTTTAACAACGTAAAGGTACAACGAGAGAGAAAAGAAAAAGTGGGAGAAATAGGAAACAAAGAAAGGAAACTGAAAATGTACACTGATTGGAGAAATCTCTGTAACTGTGACTTTGATGAAGCAGAGAAATCTAGCGCCAGTGAGGAACAATAATTCAAGATCAATTCAGCACTAAATTCAACCCCGGCAAAAGTTTTTTCAAACGGTACCTTGCCTATATAATGTGCTGCGTTTTCTTTTTCTTTTCTTTTTCTTTACCTTTTTTTTTACGTCCAACATGTACAACTTATCCAAGGTTGCCCAAAGACGTCTCGTCCCTTCTTTAACACGTAACGTAAGTACATCATAATACCGTGTTCCTGACAACTTGCTAATGTTTTTTTTTCTCACGATCAGACTGGTGTCCTCTCCACCTTTGCTCGTTCTTATAGCTCTGGTGTCAATGGTCCCGTTATCGGTATCGATTTGGGTACAACCAACTCTTGTGTGTCCGTCATGGAAGGCAAGAACCCTCGAGTTATTGAAAATGCTGAAGGTGCTCGTACTACTCCTTCCGTTGTTGCTTTCACAAAAGATGGTGAATTGTTAGTTGGTCAAGCTGCTAAGCGTCAGGTAAAATATCAACTCTTGTTTAAAGAGAGAGAGTGTGTGGAAGAATTTTTATTCAATCCTTGATTTTCCGAACTATATGACTCATTTTTTTTCCTGTCATTGTAGGCCGTTGTCAACTCTCAAAACACCGTCTATGCCACCAAGCGTTTGATTGGTCGTCAATTCAAGGATCCCGCCGTCCAAGCTGATATTCCTGCTGTTTCTTACAAGATTGTTGCTCATACCAACGGTGACGCCTGGGTCGAAGCCAACGGACAAAAATACTCTCCTTCTCAAATCGGTGCTTTCGTCTTGGGCAAGATGAAGGAAACTGCTGAAGGTTACCTTGGTAAGAAGGCCAAGCATGCTGTCATCACTGTCCCCGCCTACTTCAACGATGCTCAACGTCAAGCTACCAAAGATGCTGGTAAGATTGCCGGCCTTGATGTCTTGCGTGTCATCAACGAACCTACTGCCGCTGCCTTGGCCTACGGTCTTGACAAGTCTGGTGATTCTACCATTGCTGTCTATGACTTGGGTGGTGGTACCTTTGATATTTCTATCCTTGAAATCCAAAACGGTGTCTTCGAAGTCAAGTCTACCAACGGTGACACTGCTCTCGGTGGTGAAGATTTCGACTCTCACCTCGTCCGCTGGGTCGTGAGCGAATTCAAGAACGAATCCGGTATCGATCTTTCCGGCGACCGCATGGCCATTCAACGTATTCGTGAAGCTTGTGAAAAGGCCAAGATCGAATTGTCTTCTACTGTTCAAACCGACATTAACTTGCCTTATATCACTGCTGATGCCTCTGGTCCTAAGCACATCAACTCTAAATTGACTCGTGCCAAGTTCGAAACCCTCGTCGGTGAACTCGTCAGCCGTACCGTTCCTCCTTGTGAAAAGGCCATGAAGGATGCTGGTATCTCCAACAAGGATGTTAACGACGTCATCTTGGTCGGTGGTATGTCCCGTATGCCCAAGGTTGTCGAAACCGTCAAGCAAGTGTTTGGTAAGGAACCTAGTAAGTCTGTCAACCCCGATGAAGCCGTCGCTATTGGTGCTGCTATCCAAGGTGGTGTCCTTGCCGGTTCTGTCACTGATATCCTCTTGCTCGATGTCACTCCTCTTTCTTTGGGTATTGAAACCCTCGGTGGTGTCTTCACTCGTTTGATTAACCGTAACACTACTATTCCCACAAAGAAGTCACAAGTTTTCTCCACCGCTGCTGACGGTCAAACTCAAGTCTCTGTTCGTGTCTTCCAAGGTGAACGTGAACTTTGCCGTGACAACAAGCTCTTGGGTGACTTCAACTTGGTAAGTTATTTATATTGTGAATGTGAATGCGTTTTATTAATATGTGTGTGTAGACCGGTATCCCTCCTGCTCCTAAGGGTGTTCCTCAAATTCAAGTTGAATTCGATATTGATGCTGATGGTATCGTCAACGTCAGTGCCAAGGATAAGGCCACTGGTCGTGACCAATCTATGACCATCGCTGCTTCTTCCGGCTTGAGCAATGACGAAATCGAAAACATGATCAAGCAAGCCGAAGCCAACGCTGAAGCTGATCGTGCTCGTCGTGAGACTATCGAAATGGCCAACCGTGCTGACTCTGTCATGAGCGAAACCGAAAAGGCCATGGATGACTTTAAGGAACAACTCGATAAGGCCGAAGCTGAAAAGCTCAAGGAAAAGATCACCGCTCTCCGTGCCGAAGCATTAAAAGCTCAAGCTGGTGATGCTTCCGTTAACCCTGATGACTTGAAGACCAAGATTGATGACCTTCAATCTAGCTCCTTGAAGCTCTTTGAAATGGTCTACAAGAACCGTGCTGCTCAAAATGACACCTCTTCCGACAGCAACTCTAGCAGCAATGCCGGATCTCAGTAAACAAAAAATAATATTGTATTATTCCTAAAATCAACTACCTGTAATTTATTATATACACCCACCCTTTTTTCTTTGTATATTTGTAGACTGAAACTTAGAAATAAAAGAATTTCGTCTTTATTTATAAACATACTTTTCGAGATTCAGTCATCGGTTGACAATTGTATCTTATTCAAATCGGCAGCGTTCGATACGAACAACATCTTTGGGACTATATAATAAAGTGGCATAAATGACATATTCAATGCTTATTTGCTTTCTTTTTTTTACCGATCATGTGCATCTGTCTTTACTAAACCCATTCTTTTCACTACATTCATGCCATCACTGACTCTACCAAAGATTGTATGTTTACCATCCAACCAAGGTGTAGGTGCTAATGTAATAAAAAACTATACAACTGTTGGCTTCTTTTTTTTTTTCCTCTTCTTCTTTTTGCCACTTTAGTTTACCTGTGACCCATTCGTATTAGGTCCTGCATTGGCCATACTAAGGATGCCTGCTCCAGTATGTTTAAGAGCCGGATGGATTTCATCTGCAAATCGTTCACCATAAATAGAAGTGCCTCCACGTCCAGTACCAGTGGGATCTCCACCTAAACTTACTGTTAGATCTGTCGTATACATTATAGATTTGTTTTACCTTGAATCATAAAATCCTAAGATAGACGACAATAGAATGTTTATTCCACATCTTTAATAAACTGTTTAACTTACTGCAATAATACGATGAAACTAACAGACAAGTCAGCACATGAATAAACTAATCTGTTGCATTACTCACGCTCACTCCATCATAATATCCCTTTTTTGCCTATAAAACAGCGCGTGTTTATTTCAAGTATGAATAGTAATGTATTCACTTACTAATTCATAAAAATTTTTACAAGTTCTATAAAAGCAAATCAGAACCACAGTGTCTCATTCTAACTGATTCTACCTTGGTGCATGATCCCAGTAGAGTTCAATGTGAATTGAACCCATAGAAGTATCCAAGATGACGTTATCTCTTCTGCCAGACATTTTTTATTATATAGAAAAAAGAAGAAAAAAATACACAGACTGTGGCAAACATTGTATTTTATTCAAATACAGTCTTTTTACCCTTGAACTCTTGGACAGTTGGCTTTTGTCTTTGAGCAGAATATAAAGCCTCTCCTGGCTTCACACGTTCATTCTTGAGCTTCTTTTCTGGTTGGCTTTCTTTTCTCTCTATTCTTTCTGCTCTTTCTTCTCTGTCTGTCTTCCTTGGTCGCATAGTTGGCTCAGATGGTTCGTTCGTTTGTTCTTTATTTGAGGGGCCACGCTTCTGTTGTCGCAATAACCAAGGCTTTGATCTCATATGAGCTTCTTCGCTAGCAAATTCTACACGACACTTACGGCCGCCCAAGACATGCTTATCTGGGGCACGGATAGCCTTTGTAGCAGATTCTACTGTAAAATAGTCCACATATGCAAATCTAATGTCGCATTAGCAAGAAACGCTCCTTTTCTCTTTAAAAACACGTACCCTTTACACTTTCCAGAGTCTTCAAAGGTAGCTACTCGCACCTTACGAATATCTCCTGCCCATTCGAATGCTTCACGAATTGATTGTTCTGTTGCTTCAAAACTCAAGTTACCCAAGAAAAGGGTTGGACAAGGAGGATTCTTTTGTTTCTTGATCTCCTTCTTTTCTTTTTCTGTGGGTGGTTTTATTCCATCTGCTCGCTCAAAGTTATCTTCAGCCTTGATCAACAGAGCACGACCTTCTAATTCCTGTTCTGACTTGGCAATAGCCTTTGCTTGTTCTTCAGATGTAGAAAAGAAAACATAGGCAAAACTATATAATTACATCGGTTAGGATGAACTGCGCACGCACGCATCTTGTTACTACTTGCCCTTTATTGTTATTCTTGACCCCATTTCCTTTAGGACATCTCATACGCTTTACTTTTCCGCAATCTTTGAAAAAGTCCTTGATGGTATCTGTTGTTGTACTGAAAGCAAGATTACCGACCCAAACACCATATTCTGGTTCCTTTTCTTTTTTCTCTATCTTGGGCTTTTTGATCTTTCTCTCTTCTTCTATAGTTGTATCATTTTGGTCATCATCTACCTTGACAGCTTCTTTTTCTTCTTCTTCTTCAACTAATTCACCTCTCTATTGTATATATGAATATCTTCCATATCCCAATGAGGGGACATATCAACAACTCACCTTGCGCTTCTTGTTGAGCTCCTTTTTCAACTTTTTCTTTTCTCTGCTTTCTCTGTTAATCCTACGTTGTTCTTCCTTTTCTTCTTCTGTCATTGTCTTTTTGCTCTTCTTTTTCTTTTCAGCTGGTTCGTTTCCATTATCCAAGGCCACTGCTGTCATTTCAGTCAGCACATTGAATGAATCATCGTTTTGTTTTTGCTTTTCTCCAGAAACTGGCTCAACAGACTCTTCAGAGGCCTTCCTCTTCTCCTTCTTTTCTTTCTTTTCTTTCTTTTCCTTTGCCATCTCTATCTATTCTATGCTTTTTTTTTTCTATATGCTTAAAAGAAAGAAAGAAACTGAAATTGCTGCAGAAATATAGGTAGTAAAAAAGGTCACAGAGCGCCACTCTTTATAAATGCACTTTCTCCCCCAAAGCAACGCATATACAAAACATTGAGTAATTATACCATGTCATCTGACGTACGCCGTTTATTAAAAAAGCAAAAGCTTGAACGACAAAGTTCTAGTCGAATAAGTCATCCATTTGCTAAGTATGACGACACAGGTCGCTTAATCTGTATTGTGTGCAAATCACCCGTCAAGAACGAAAATGTCTGGCAAGCTCATCTTGGCTCTAATCATCATAAAGAAAATATAGAGAAACTAAAGGCATTAAAACAACAAAAGAGACCAGCTGCAGAGCCAGTACAGGCCGAACCACAACAGAAACGCGTTCGATTTGAAGATATTGAACTAAGCGATGATGATGAAGAAGAAGAAGAAGAAGGCCATCTGCCAGCAGACTTTTTTGACCAGAACGCAACTGAAGAGCCTATGGATGAGGATACTGTAGAAGATGGTGTAGAGGATAATGTAAAAGAGATGACTGTGAAACCAAATACGATACCTGCTGGATTCTTTGATGATCCTGAACGAGAAGCAAAAGCTCAAGCGGCTGCTCAAGAACAAGCCAAGTTACAGTTAGAAAAGGAATTGGATGAATTCCAAGAGGCAATGCTAGAAGTGGCTACAGAATCACAACAGCAAGATGAAGAAGACGATGAGTTGCTCTATGCTGGCAGAAATGAAGATATCTTTAGAGAGCAGGCACTGCTAGATGCGAGAGTGCAACGTCTAAAGCAAATGCGAGAGACTGGCAAGGTGACAAGAGAAGAACGACAAGACGAAGGCTTGGAAAGAGATGAACAGCTTCGAAAAGATTTGAAGAAAAGCTTGCAGTATTCTCTTTCAAAGAAAAAAGTGCAGGTGGCGCAAAGCGTATTTGACGATGATGAAGACGACGAAGAAGACGAATAAGAGCTTTTTGATGTAAATAAATACATGTTGTTGTTATCATCCAACGCTTTGTTTAATATAAACATTCTGCAGTTGTGTCATCAGTCAAAGGTGTTCTCATGACACTCATAAAATCATCAGAAAGATAAAAAAATAAACAATTACACACTCCGCAGAGGAGCGTTTGTAGTTCCCCTCCTTTTCGTCTCTCTTTTTTTCCTTTCTTCCTTTAATCTCATCTAATGACTTCTTCAGACAATACGCTTGAAAGTATTCCTGCTGATCAGCAAGGAAGCTTCTCTTCTTTCTTAAAGACACTTGCTTCTTTTACTGGTGACCTCTCTGCTTTAACATGCCCTTCATTTCTATTAGCGCCCATCTCTTTATTGGAGTATTCGTAAGTGTTTCTTATTGCTTGGGGGGACACATGTATTCTAAACCTAAGCGCGATATAGATCTTTTTGGGCTGACCAACCTGGTTTGGTAAGTACGCTATATGAAATAATCACAAATGACTCACCTTTTGCGATAGTTGAAAGAAGTTAGTAAATCGGACAATCCCGAAGAACGCTTTTATGCTGCTGTCAAATGGTTCATTTCTGCTCTGAACGGATCATTCTCTAGCCGAGTACCCAAGGGAGAATGGGAAAAGAAACCATTTAACCCTATTCTTGGTGAACAATTCCACTGTGAATGGGAGGATAAGACACGTATCGTCTGTGAACAAGTGTCTCATCACCCTCCTGTTTCAGGATTTTATGTGGAGAACAAGGAAGCAGGCGTTGTTGTGACTGGACATGATGGTCAAAAGACACGCTTCTCTGGTACACAAATGCTGGTCGATCAAATTGGTTACTGTACACTCAAGTTAACTCAACGGGACGAAACGTACTTGTTCACCTTGCCTTCTGTTTCTGTGAACGGTATTTGGTATGCAGGTGAGTAACATGGTTTAGATTATGCCTCTTTATTAAGGCACGTGATATAGCTCCATATGTTGAACTTTATGGCACTTCATTCATCCATTCTACCAGTGGTTATTTTGCTTCTATTGAATATACAACCAAAGGATGGATCTCGGGTGAAGTTCATCATTTCAAGGCTACGATCACTCATGAGACTCTGGCTACACCTACGATTATCGAGGGACAATGGACTGGTAAATCTACATTGACCAAAGATAAAAAGACCCAAGACTTCCTTGACTTGACCACCATGGAAAGACCACAGCAGATTGTGAAGCCCGTAGATGAACAAGGCGAATTAGAATCTCGTCGTGTTTGGAGAAAGGTATCTGAGGCACTTAGAGCCGGTGATTATGCAACTGCATCAGCTGAGAAGTCAGTCATTGAAAACCAGCAGAGAGCCTTACGAAAGGAACGTCAAGAGGCAAATCAGACTTGGACTCCTCGTTACTTTAAATCAGTCAAGGGAGAAGAAATCTATGGTGATTTACGTGAAAAAATCATTTCAAAGGCAGATTCCAAGTTTTTAGACACAATGGGTGAAGGAGGTTGGATGTACACAGCTTAAATTTTTACTACGAGAAACCAAATAAAATTTTTCTTTTTCTTTTTCCCTCATGCCACCAAAGTTAGCTAGACAGCAAACACTCTTGAGTTATTTTAAAAAAGGACCAGTAAAGGAAAAAGAAAGGTTAGTTTAGTCGTGTCCATGGGTGTAATGTCATAAACTTTTTTAAAAGGCTTGAAGAGCCCCTTACTAAAGAAGATACAAAAATGGAAATATCCAACGAAGAAGAGGAAGACGATATTCTTCCTTTGAGAAAGCATAACAAAAGAAAAAGACAGATAACTATTGACGAAGAAGAAGAAGAAGAAGAACAGACTGTCAAAAAGACGATCATACAGATAGAAGGTACACGACATAACATAAAGAAACAGAAGTTAACACAGCAAAAGATAACAGCAGTAGTGATACAAATGATGACGACAACAACGATGACACAATCCAGGACGATGAATTAATGTTCCTTGACAAGTCAGGTAATAATTATTAATAAGCCCTCTTCTAAATATGAAATAACACAATTTTAGATATCCTAGAACAAAGAACACGTGGTAGACAAGTATCACGATACAACAAGGCTCTTGAAAAGCTTAAAGGTATCATGTGTGCATTTGTTGGATAGTTATGTTGAACAATAATATTAGATCGTAAATCAAGGCTTCAAAAGTATGATACAAGTGAAAAGGGACCAATTGAAAAGTACATACGCCTATCTGATGAAGAAGAAGAAAATGAAGAAGACGAGGAAGAAGAAGATGAAAAGGACTTTGTTGTAGATGATGATATTATTGATGGAGTGAAAGTATCAAAGAATAAACAAGCTGTAGATATGCCAGGTATTTATATACATTCGCTATAATCTACAAATAATTAACATGCATGATAGCTGAATTTAGTAGAGACAGAATACTTTCATGGTCAAGACAGTTCAAGATATATGTAGAGTATTTAGTAGCATTGGCGATAACGGACAAACTTGAAACAAGTAATAACAATATTGCTAAATACAATAAATTGTTTATGACGATTTCTTTTAATAGCAAATCAGTTTGAATTAGCTAAAAAAGCAGTAATTCGAAGAATACAAAGTTATAAAGATTCAATGGTCACAAGTGATGTCTGGTTAACAGAATTTAAGGTAACTAGAACAACAGCAAAAAAACCAGTTGCTAAGCAATCGAAAAGGAATCCATGGATACGCATTTAAATTGGAAGTTTAAAGGCTATCTAAAGGACGAAGATGTTTCATGTCAAGCATGCAGGGCTAATAAGCCAGCGAGCTATATTGTATCACTTTATTCAGATGATGCTGAACCAGTGAGATTCTATTTAGGTAGCGAGTGTTACAGAAAGGGTCAACTGTATCACAAATTTACACACTTTGAATCACACATTTACCACCAAGTCAAGGAACAAGTCAAAAAGATTCAAAGTGAGAATAAGGAGATGATAGATTATGACGATGTGTATGAAGCATTGGTTGAAAGTGGTTATGTAAACGATGTATGTTGTAGCTTTTACTATAATAGTAATAGTAATCTTATCATAAATAGCTCTTTCGAAAGGTTAAGGACTTATTTATCAAGACAACACGTATCTATAATTTGAAAGGTGAGAGATTTAAAATTGAAGATACCTCTTCATCATCAGACAATGAAGCATGATTCCTTTTTTTTTAAATGTACATAATGTAAATAAAACACACAGATGCATAAATGTAGAACAATAAAGTGTGAATGATCTCATCCTTTAAATGGCTGTAGCATATCATTCTACCCTTGATTTTCTTTATAAAATCGACTTGAAATAATAAAAAAGAGGGGATGAACATCATTTATAGGTTTACCCTTGAAGGCTGAAGAAATATATTGAATAATCATTGTTTTGATCTTGAACTCTTTATGGTAATCTTTATTCACAAGGTTACACTAAACAATACACAAAAAGCAAGTTATAAAAAGAAAGCGGCTTAACTCAGAGCGAGTATAAGTATGAAACAGCTGCACTGAATTAATCGACTGCTTTAGTGAAAATGATGAATAACTTTAAATAACATGTCATATGGCGGCAAGTAAACCTAGCTATAATAAATAGATACGTCTTTAATAAAAGATGGTCTTTAGCAGACAAATGAAAAATACCCAAAGAATGGGATGTGCCACACTCACTTATATGTTTCTTTTGTCCTTTTCATACATGCAACTCCTGACTATTTTAATCACCGGCAGCTAAATTTAACAGGTGCAACAAGGTGAATTATTTAAATACGCCAAGTGGGATGAGAAAAACGCTTGATATAATCATTTGGTCTTCTTTTTCTTTCTTTCCTTCTTTCTCTTTCTTTTTTTTTTTTTGCTTTTCTTTCTCTTTTCTTTCTCTTTCCTTAATTGTTTAAACAAAAATTTATTATTTCTCTACACTCCTTGAAATATTTTACTTGTGACGCATAATTCCACTTATTTCAAGTTACGGCTACAACTCAAACAATGGGAGCCAAACTTAGTAGACCGGATCAAACGATACCGAGCGATGAACTATCAAAAAAGAGAAAAAAGAGAAACACTGTCATTCGATCTATTTTATCCAATTCGACAAAGAAAAAGATGACCCTGAACAACAATAACATTGATAATAACAATAATGAAGATACAAGTTCTCGTGTCACGAACACAGAAGCACCAAAACAAACAATTTCTGGAGACACAAATAATGACGACACCTGTTTAAATGATCCTGCTGCGACAATTTCAACTACAAAACGATCTATACTTTATGACCCACTTAAATCGAATTCAAGACGAAGCAGGCGATCTAGAATATCTTCTTCTTCTTCTTCTATTCATAATCGTTTATCTATTCATGACGAAAATGCTCCATTTTATTCAAGGAGCAACATTAGCAGTGGTTGGACCGCATTATCAAATGACCCCTTTTCCCAAATCGAAGTGAACACTTCCACCTTTACCGAGATTACTGACCATTCTACCATTTCCCGAAAGTCACTTTACCCCGAAGATACCTTATTCTCCTCTACTACTACTACTACTGCTACTACTACACCCGTTCAACGTCCATCGTCTTCATTCTTAGCCTCATCCGCAAGGGATATTCAGCAGCAATTACAGATGTATCCCTCTCGATCGTACCAGATTATCAAGGAGGCTTTTAAAAAGGCGCAGCTTCAGAACGACCCTTATGACTGGACTCAATTTTACACAGCTATCGATCACTATGCTATTCAATCGCATGACCCTGTTGCCTTGGTCTACTTAGCAAGATGTCTTATCTCAGGTCTAGGCTGCACTCCCGACATACAGCGTGGTTTCGAGTTACTTAAATCACACCCTTCATGTGAAACAAACTATGCTCTTGGACATTGCTATCTTGATGGCCTTCCAGCGAATGGTCCTCATACCGTTCAAGATGTTGATAAAGCAACAGCATTTGAATGCTTTTTATCAGCCGCTAATGACTACGAACCGACCAATGAATCTATTGCAACAACGATTGCAGAAGCTCAATGCAGATTGGCTCGTATGCTGTTTCAAGGCGAAGGAGTAGAGCAAAACTCAAGAGAAGGCTTTGAATACTTGATGAAGAGTGCCGAAAACAACAACATGTAAAGACATACATATATTATTCTACAAAAAAAAAGACTCACTTTTTATTGATTAGGTATGCCCAGTTTCTTGTGGGTGTTCACTATGAACGTGGTCTGGATATTCCTCTAGATCTCGAAAAAGCAATGTATTACTATCAAAAGAGCGCCGAACAAGGTTTCCCTGACGCGCAAGCAGCCTTGGGAAACAGATTGATTGTAGAAGAAAACTACAAAGAAGGCATTCAGTGGTTAGAAAAGGCTGTTCAAATGGTAAGAATAAGCTCATTTTAAACCTGCTATTGACATTTGACTTGTAGGGAAATAGTCGTGCTCATCTCCAGCTTGGTATACTTTATGATAAGGGCATAGGCGTCGAACAAAGCAATGATCTTTCTTTACTTCATTATAAAGCTGCTGCTGAAAACGGCAATCACGCTGCGCAGTATATTCTCGGACTAGTCTATTACTTTGGTAGACTAGGAAAACAAAAGAACCATAAAGAAGCCATTCGACTTGTTAGACAAGCCGCCGTCTCTGGATTCCCTTATGCACAACGTGTGCTTGGCCAATTCTATCAACAAGGCAGTCTCTTTCTCCCACTGTCTTCACAGTCTGGCGCTGATAATAGGCTTCGAGTCAAGAAAAATGAGCGTGAGGCTGTTCGATGGTACAAACGTGCTGCCCTGGGCAAGGACATACCTTCCATGGGCCTTCTTGGCAAATGTCATGAACATGGCATTGGTGTCGATATTGATTTAGAAAAGGCACTTGCTTACTACACAAAGGCTGCAGAAAATCAAAGTCCCTATGTTTACTATGCTACTATTGACCAAGCCCTTCTATTACAACGAATGGGTCGACACGTGGAAGCTTTCCGTTTATATTCTCACGTTTTGACTCATGCTCATCCAATAGATGATAAGCAACCTATTCAGACAGCCAAGTTATCTGTTGCTCGATACCACCTGAGCAATAAAATTGAGGGTATCCCATATAATCCAGCCCTTGCATTACAGCTACTCACCGAATTAGCCGAGACGACAAACGAACCTCATGCTCACTATTGGTTAGGCTCCTGCTACGATGAAGGTATCCCTGGCGTATGTGAAATTGATCGACAAAAGGCGTTTCACCATTTCATGATCGCTGCTGAGTCGGACGATATAGACGCCATCTTTCTGGTAATTTTTTGTAATTTGAAAGAGTTTGTGTTATGCTAACGTAATTATGATGTAAAAGGTTGCATATATGATGTCGAACAACGTGATCCCTCATAAAGGGCCTACAGACGCCTTTCCTTGGTATCGCAAAGCTGCCCTCAAGGGCCATCCTATGGCTATGCATTCCCTTGGTCTTTGTTATTACAAGGGCATTGGGATTGACAGACCTGACTTGGACACTGCCCTCGAATGGTTTGATAAGGCTGCTAAACAAGATATTACAGAATCCATGTCTTATATGGCTCGTGTTTATCTTCAGCTGATGATGATGCATGTCGAACAAGTCGAAGCAGCACAACAATACTTTGCCAAGGCAGTTCAGTGGCTCAAGAAAGCAGCAGAAAAAGAAGACGCCTATGCTTTAAGAGAGCTAGGCAAAATCTATCTCTCTGGGAAGGGCCTTAAGGCAGATTATACCATTGCATTCAATCTCTTGCAGAAGGCTTCTCAAAAGAACGATCCTGAGGCAATTGCTTTTCTCGGGGATTGCTACCATAAGGGGACCGGTACGGAGAAGAATTTGGAAATAGCCGTGGAGCATTATCTCCGTTCTGCCTCTTTAGGCTATCCGTTGTAAGTATTTCCTTTTTGAAAAACATAGTTTCCTTTTTAACTTTGATCCTACATAGTGCATACTCTGCTACAGCTGAACTCTATTACGAAATTGGCAATTTCGATCTCGCTTATGATTACTATTTACTAGCATCAAAGGAACCCAAGATTGCACAAAGTAAAATTGGCAAGAATTCCAAGATGATGGTGGCTCGTTTGGCTCTCGCTTATATTCCAGGAAAGACTCAAAAGTCCAGTGCTCTCTTGGAAAATTTAGTCAGGTTTAACAAGATAATTGCTCTTACCGACGCATTTGAGATACTCTCAGAGCTTTGTAATCAAGATCAGTTCCCTCAAGCTTTTGAGCCTCTTGGTAAAAGGCTAATTACACTTAATAGCATGTGACTAACTCTTTACAAAGGTTATTGCTACCTTCATGGGCATGGAACAACAAAGAATATTACCGAAGCAACATTCTGGTTTCGTAAAGCAATCGAGGAGCTGAATGACAGTGCTGCTTATTTTCATCTTTTCAATATCTATGCCCACGGTTTAGGAAATACACTTGTTGATATCCCCTCAGCACTCGCTTACCTCAGAAAGAGCGCAGAGCAAGGTTACACTGAAGCTCAGTACCGTATGGGCATTATCTATCTGCAGGGCGAATTCGGCATTATGCCTGATGAACGCACAGCGACAGACTGGCTGAAACTATCTGCTTCCAAACTGCATGCTGAAAGTATTTGGATGCTCTCTCAAATGGCTGCAGCCATCCATCAGGACGATTTGAAACTTGAATATCAAAAGAGTGCCGCTTCCTTAGGTCATGTGCTCTCTATGCGTGAGCTTGGTAAACAGTATCTGAAACAGCTAGACACCCCTTTCTTGAGCATACTGATGCAAAACGAATACCTGGATGAAGCCCTAAAGTACCTACATATGGCTGCAGATGCAAATGATACTGAAGCACTGATTATCTTGGGAAAGACTTATGCAAACTGTACAAAGACCAACATCAAGTACTCACACCTTCAAAACAACTTACCCACACCTACAGATACCAACAGCTTCTGCGATGAGGATGAAGAGATAGATTCCCGCTGGCAATCAGAAGAAGACGAAAAGGCACTGGCTATTCAATGCTTCGAAAGGGCCGCTGCATTAGGTAGCATTGAAGCAACTGTGTATGCTGCTGAGGCATGGCATGAGCAGGAACAGTATGCTGCTGCTCTAGAATACTTTCAGAAGGCTGCATCTCAAGGCCACGTACTGGCGCGCTTCTTTTGTGCGCGTTATTCGATTGAAGGTTTTGGTGGCATGCCTGTAAATCCTGAAGAAGGGTTCAAGGTACATTATTGGCTTACGCAATTCATCTGCTCGTCTGATTTAAACTCCTTTTTATTTTTAGGAACTTTTAATCTGTGCTAATGAACTGAACTGTGTCCATGCTTATAATACGTTAGGTCAGTGTTATGAAAACGGTGTTGGTACAGAAAAGAACGACCAACTTGCCTATGAATGGTACCGCCGTGCAGCCGAAATGACCCGTGATGCTGAAGCCTATTACCGTATCGCTCAAATGTATGCTCAAGGCCGCGTTGCTTTACCAAACCCAACAATGAATAAGGACATAGAAGCCTGTAGGATGTACGAATTGGCTACAAAGGCAACACCTAAAGGCCATGGACCTTCTTGTTATGAGCTTGGTCTTTATCATCTCAGGGGTATTGCTGATCCTTTAGACGACAAGCGTATCCTTTTGACTCCTGACGTATTCCAAGGAATTGAATATCTTCGTACATCATCCGATCTGAATATCAAAGAGGCCATGTTTACCCTTGGTTTGCTTTTCCTCAACGGTAATTTTCCTGTAGAAGAACAAGAAGAAGGATATCGTAGACTTTTACGAGCCGCTGAGCTTGGCTCTTCTGAAGCTCAGTTTCATCTTGGCAAGTTCTATCACCGTGGCAAAGACATTATGACCGACTCTGAAAAAGATGGCGAAGAGTATACCCTTATTCCTCAAGACCTTGAAAAGGCCTTTGATCTTTTTTGTAGATCTGCAGCTCAGCGACATCCTACTGCCACATACTACCTAGCCTTTTACTATCACCATGGTATATACGTTCCGCCTGACATTAACACTGCTCTTGAGCAGTACGAGCTTGCTGTAGATCTGTTTGAAAAGTATGAAGTAGTACCTGAAGAACGATGGCAAGCTGAATATAACCTTGGGTCCATTCTGCATAAGCATATTGACAGTCAGGCTCGTGCCTATGAACTCTTTCAGGCAGCTCAAGCCCATGCTCCGGTCAACTTCAAATATCTACCCCAAATCATGATCACTCGATACCATCTTTATGGATGGGCTGATGTTCCTGTTCAGGCTAGAGAAGCAGCTGCTACACTTGTCCGTTTCGCACAAGAAAAATTTGGATACCGCGTATATCTTGATGTAGCAAGATGTTATGAATATGGACTTGGTATTCCCAAAGATGCCCATCAAGCGTTCTATTGGTACGGACAAGTCCTTAATAGAGCAAACAGTGTGAATGAGTCTTCAGTGGATATGTCCACTTTATTTATTGATGAAGATACAGAAGAAGATGAATCAGCTGCCATGTTTAAACTCGCAGAATTTTATCAAAAAGGCGATGTTGTTTCAAGAGACATCGAAAAAGCCGATAGACTCTACTGCCTTGCAGCCAAAAGGGGTTCACAAGACGCTCAAGAACACCTTTCTCTTAAATTGAAAAGAACCACTATTTAATGTTATTGTATGCATTTCCTTTCCTTTTCTTTTTGCTTTTTATTATACTTATTATTATTATTTTGCTTGTATTTTACTATGTATATATGATCATAAACAATATTTGCCATTTTTGCACACCCCATTTCTATTGCCTCTCCTCTAGAAATATAATTCTTTTAAACCTACAACACAGCAAAGGATGGATTTACATATTTAAACTGATTTAATAAGCTACTCATTTCTTTTTGGCACAAATCTATACAGCTGTACACCTGTAAAACTTAATATTTGATCCATTGAGTCGTCCATCGTTCCTTGACCATCTAGTAGATCTCTTGCAAAATCCTCTAGACTAAGACGTGTAATATCAAAGTATATTGCAGAGTTACTAAAAAAGGTTGCTTCTTCATACTGCTTTAGCCCCCGTGGTTTGTATCCAAGATAGAGTCGCGTACGAGTCTTTTTTGTACCAGTGAGTAGACGAAATGTGGTAATTAATGGATAAAAATCTTCAGTGTTATATAATACGTCAGACACGAAAATGTAGTCAAATGGCTGCTTGCATAATGCTTTGATATCCTTTGTCAATCCCCAGCGAAGAGGCTTGACACGTATATTAGCTGTACTGCTGCTGTTGAGAGAAAGATTATGCTTGATAAGAGGCAAAGCCTCGGGTATATCTGTCAAGACAACAGTAGGTGGATGAGGTATATCATAGACGTGACATAGTTGTGATATAAGCAAGCCAAGTGATCCAATACTATAGGTAAAATATATATATAAGCCCTTAGGATTACGAATGGGAACGCGTCGTATTACCCTGCACTTAGATCCATTATACGCAAACCTGATAAAAACGCGCGGTTATGCTTAAACAGCCTGGTGATGACTTGACCGATCACTACAGCCGAATCCCACAACTTCCCTGATGTTCCATGGTCCCACATTTCCTTCAATACCAAATAGCGGTGATCATTAAGAGAGAGTATCCTGTGTGTATTGACATCATCTGATATATCATCAGCCCAGTAAAAGCTATCTTCTTGAGTACTTGTATCCTGAAGTTGGAATGGTCCCAAACATAAGGGAAGTGACTGCTGTAACAGGCACTGATTTTCTGTTTGGATGTGAATAAAGAAAACACCATCTTCATATCCTTTGTTGTTGTTGTTGTTAGTGACCACTCTGTACTCGAAGCTACCTGTATAGTTGCTATATCCAAGCCCCTTGTCGCCTCCTTCTGCGTTCCATGAGTCAATGTGAACAGGTCGACATTCGATTGCAAGATCTCTAGATTCCACATAACCACACGTTTTTGTTGATTTCGTAGCATATCCTTGTAACAACTTACAAGTGATTGATATGGACAATTCTAACTGGTCATTTATGATAACAGGTAATCCCAGTTCGGTTACTAACTTTAGATCGATACGATTCCACTTGTTCAGCTGAATGATGGATGATTTAACAGGATTGTTTAATACGATTCGATAGATATTGCTATTTTTATACAAGGATAATTTAAATCCATTGCTAGTATTGCTATTATAACTGTTGTTACTATTATCGTTATCACTTGCTGGCATATTTGATACTGTTTCTTCTGTCGAAAAGTGGTCCTTTAAGAATAGTATTCCAAAAGTGGTAGCTACCACTGCCGTATTATGTGGTGGCATATACTTTATATATATATATATATATATATATATATATATTTATAAAAGATGTATAAATATAAAAAAAGAAAAAAGAAAGAAGAAAAAATAAAAGGGAAAAAGGTCTATCCTTTTTTGACTGACAAAATTTGCGCATAAAGAAATCTGAGTGTCCTTTAAATAAAATGATATTCTACCCACTTGACGACAAAATACGTGTGTTTGTGTATATGATCATCATTCCTTCTTTTTTTTTTTGTCTATTTCTTTTGATAAAAGAATACGTTTATATATATGTGAGATCAGATCTATTTCTTATACGCAACAAATAACAAACCTGGAAACAATTTTATACTTTTTGGAAATTAGAGTTTGTAACACAGTGTCCCTTGACTGCTACGACTTTCTTTAATTCTTGAACAAATCCCCTTCAAAAGCGACGTGAGTCAATAGACCACTTTTCTTAACCTGTCAAATATATTCTGATTCAAAATATTAAACATGAGTCATTCCTTCCCTCTTAAAAAGAGCCTTATTCAACCAGACATTGTCTATTGATGTCAACATCATCAGGGTTCTATATAATCCTACGTTTTGACTCAAGTGCATCATTTTAGTCATTGTGGCTATTCATCAAAACGTCATGCCTTTAACTTTATCTCCGCTTATTTTTCATGTGGAAGAGAGAAAGCGCGAACAATTTATTACCTTTTTATACCATTTAACCTTCCCAAGAGTAGACTGCCAAGAGTCCTCTTTTATTATGTCTTCACCTGATATTTACGAATTAACAAACGCTCCTATTACTGCTCATGCTTTTAACAAGGACCGTAAGTGAAATATACTAAAAAGAAAAAAGGGACACAGATGATGACGTTGTGTAGAGCTGGTCGTTTGTCAAAATACAAATGATGCCTTCATTTACCAATATGGACACTCTAATTCAAAGCTGGAAGCTACTTTAAAAGGAGTAATATATCTATATAAATAGAAAGAGAGATTTTTAAAAATACCTAGCTGACATCATATAGCACGATAAAGTAATTACAAGCATTGATTTTGCGCCTAAAACGAATCGTATCGTTACCTGTTCACAAGATAGAAACGCTTACGTCTGGACGAATGAAGGAGGTGTTTGGAAACCAGGGCTTGTCTTGTTACGTATTAATCGTGCAGCTACTTTCGTTCGTTGGTCACCCGATGAACAAAAGTTTGCTGTTGCCAGTGGTGCCCGATGTATCTCCGTCTGTTATTTTGAAGGAGATAATGATTGGTGGGCTAGTAAACACTTGAAAAAACCTATTCGTAGCACTGTTCTCTCTGTTGACTGGCACCCTAATGGTGTCTTATTGGCAGCTGGCTCAGCTGATATGAAGGCTCGTGTCTTTTCATCCTTTATCAAAGGACTTGACAAGAAGTAAAAAAATGCACTACATATCAACAGCCAACACTCAACTCTTGTTTTTAGGCCTTCTCCAAGTGTATGGGGAGACAAATTGCCTTTCAACACGGTATGTGGTGAATTCAGCAATGGCAGAGGCGGATGGGTTCATTCAGTCGCCTTTTCTCCTTCTGGTGACGCACTCGCTTTTGCTGGCCATGACTCATCTATTAATGTCGCCTATCCCTCTGCTGATGGAAATCATACCGTATTGACCATTCCAAGCAACACACTTCCCTTCCGCTCTCTTATTTGGACAAACGAGCAACAAATTATCGCTGCTGGTTTTGATTGTGCACCCATTTTATATGAAACAAAGGATGGTCGTGATTGGTATGAAATAGTGATATTGTGAAATAGGAAAACTCATATTTCTCGGTAGGCGCTATGCTGGGTCTTTAGATACCGGACGCAAAAAGACCTCTCAATCCTCATCCATTCTAGCTCGATTCAAGACAATGGATTCCCGTGGAGAAGCAGAAGATGATACTGCTTTGAATACTGTTCATCAAAATACCATTATGTAAGCTAATCTTGTTCTGTTTATAGCTCACATCTCATCATTACAATAGTGAAATCCGTGCTTATGAAGGGGATCGCACCAATGTTACCAAATTTTCTACTTGTGGTGCAGATGGTAAAGTAGTCATTTGGGACTTTGATCCTACTCAATTGATTGCAGACCTTACTTCACTTAAAATCTAAAAAGAAAATAAAACAAGATTGGTTTATTAAGGATGTATCTCTAAAAAAAATGTACACGAATTAGTTTGCATGCATAATTTCTTTACACAGTTCATAAGAATAAAATGTTACACCCATAGCAGGGGCAACTTTTAGATAATTTGGCAGTAGGCCACGATATAAGGATTTGATTCCTTCCTTCTGCGTCATTGTCTTCAAGGCATGCCATGTGCCTTTATACTGATAGTCCATTGTATTCATTCCACTCACTTGGAATCGTCGTCTAAGCACATCTTTTTTTATGTGAGTGAGTAAAGTACGAATGGAATTCAAGAATATAGGCTTACCTAAAGGATAAATAATAGTTTGAGCAATGGATCCGGCTAATGCGCCACAGAATAGCTTTCTGATATTTCCTTGACTATGATCGTCAATAGGTATTAAGTATTCTTTCAGGACCTCATAACATTGGAAATTTAATGCTACATAAGGTGCCACTCCCTATTTATATGTTATTTCTCTGTTATCTTAGACAATGATCAATATCACCTACTAGTGTCGTTGGCCATAGCCCTCTGTATAGTCCACGGATCCCACCCTCTGTTTGATAGATAAGACGCATGGTAGGAAAGATACCTGGTAATTTTTTGGGTGTTGATACATCATGTTTGAACGTAGCTGATTGGATAGATAACCTTGTACGTACTAAATCTAAAGGGTACGTACAAGCAACAGAGACGGTACCTGCAAAGGCCCCGGCCACTAATCTTCTGGGAGTATCCAGTTCAGTTTTACCTGGTTCCATCAAGATAGACTTGAGTTGTTCATAAGCAGCGAATTGAGAAGCACTGTAAGGAACCATACGGATGACATTAGTGCCATTTCCTCTCATGAACCCCTTGAACCCCTCTTCTTTCCAAATTTTGCTTAATGTAGACCAGACACCAGTGTATGCAGCTGTTTCAGGACCTTGGACCTAAAATAACAATATAAATGTTCATGTGATTTCAAATGTGTGTAGCCTGCATTATACCTGAAATAGAATTTTCATTCTCTCCATTGGACTTACGACCGTGCGTGAAAGGGCACCGGCGATAGCGCCTGATATAAGATGCTTCATGGTATCTGAGGCCAACATGGCCTTATATCGATCCAATACACTTGGTTCTGAGGATGTGATGGTATGAGTGACTACAATATCCATGATTTTTCCGAGGTGTTCCGATTTTATGTGATCGACAATAGAGTGGTTTGTAAGTAAGAAGACAAACTCTGAAAAATTGATTTCTTTTTCTATAAGCTTATTTGATAGTTTTGTTTGAATGTCGAGTAACGTTTCCTGCAGAAAGAAAAAGCGTTAGACTCCAACATGTAACAACCAATGAGTTCTTACTTGGTCGACATGTATATTGGGTGAATTACAAACTGCAAGAATATCATGGAAATCAATGATACCGTCTTTATTTTGATCAAGAAATCCAAAGAGTTGTTGCAAACTCCAAGTGTTAGAAGGTGGATTCATTCTGATATATCATATACACTCCCCCTCTTTCCTCTTTCTATCTGTTTCTTTATACCCCTTTTTTGGAAAAATAAAGACAGGGAAAAAGATGGTCGGATAATCAAACAAAATCAAAAAATATGCCCCTTAATGTCATGGGGAAACCACCCAATAGGAAAAGATCATCACTGCTTTTTTTTGGGGGGATATTATTCATAGCAACCATTATCATTGCACACTCCTGAATTGCCATAGTGATGACACACATAGGTCAGCTATTATTTGCTGATGATCTTCATTCAATATATTTATGATCCAAGAGTATAGATTTGTTTTAGATGTGAGAACCCACTTGTTTGGTCAACAGTTTTGTAAGTTCGTCATAATGAAGTCAGTCCTATGATGACTTGTCTTGACCATATTAAATTAGTCAACAATAATGGATCATAAATGAAAAGTAGCATAATAACATATGTAATACAGTTTATAATAAAAAAAAAGACAAGATTACGTCTTTGTCATTCTCTTGTACAATCAGTCTTCGTTTGCTCTCACACACACATATAGTAACTGTTACACATAAAGCTTTACAAATCTATAGAAATTCATCTTTGTACGCTTTTTGAGACAAGTAAGGCTACACTTTCTTAGAAAAGAAAAGAACCAAGAGACTCATTTTTTTGAATGTCCGTTCCTGTTTTTTTTTTTTTTATTATTATTATTATTTTTTCAGGAACAAAAGTAAAATAAAAACTAAGTGAATAAAGAAAGGAAGTAAAGGGAAATAAAAATAGCTTCAACAAAGAGTTTTAAAAACACAAAGGATGATAACCTTTCATTTATATATTCGTTATTCGTAAGACTTGTTTCACCAACCAAAAAAAAATATTTTCCAAACTTTAGAGGCTTTTCTCTCTTTTCCCTCTCTCTTTTTTTTTTTTCTTTCTTTTCTTAATAAACATTTGTATATACTATAAAACTCTGTATACGCAACACATAAAAAAACAAAAAATTTTCTTTAATCTTGCAAACTAATGATTAGTCATTCTAACGAACAAGCTGATAAAGAAGAAGAACAAACAACAGAAGAAGAAAGCTATTATATACCAAAAGAAGAAGAACCAATAAGTGAAGAATATGATCTAATGCTAGACAGTAACTCTGTAGTAGAGGATGATCCATTTTATTTGGCCAATAAGACATTTTATACCACTTGTCATAAAATATCGCGTCAGAATAATCCAAGTTTCAGAAAGAAACCGCCTTATACATTTTTAGAAAACTGGCTTATCCACAGCGTCTTTAGTAAATCACAGCAGATATTATTACGATTCCCAGTGATACATCCAAAAGTGATGATGACTGAAGGAGATTTTATTTATACCCCTCATCAAATGGTTAACGACACTAATTTCAATACTAATAATGCAACTAATCATAATATACAACAACCCAATGGATATGATTATTATTCCAATGAATATGTCAACCATCATGATGAAGAAGATGACGACGACGATTATGATTATTATGATGACGATACTTTTATTATTGGCGATGAAGGTGTCATTGTCATGAGCGCCCCTGCCCCAGACACCTCACAGTTTGTTGAAGATGAAGAATCGATACATACCTCATCTCTTATCATGGATGAAAACACATGGATGGGTCATAGTAAATACAATGGCAACGGACTCACACTACATGTTGTTAATCCAGATTTGGATGAAGACGATGAAGAGGAAGGAGACAAACAGAGAAGATATACTAGCTTTCATACTCAACTTCAAGTGGTTAAGGAAGAAGAGGAAGAAGAGGATGAAGAAGATTATCGAAATACACAGAGTAGTAATCACCAAGCCGAGTACAAAAGTACGGGTATTTCCATGTCTCCTGAAATTCTAAACTGGTATCGCTCGGCTGACTTGAAATCCATGAAATCAGCTATTTATGAAGAGCAACAACAGCAACCAACAAATCTTGAAAATAAGGAGCGGGATAACAAAATGAATGATAGTAACGGTATCCTGAGCCACAATAACCATAATAGTAATAGCAGCAGTAGCAGTAGTAGTAGTAGCAGTGATGGCGATGATGGTAAAAGTAATGACGACATCAGCCAAGAAGACATGGAGGATACCAGCTACCATGCGCATGAACCAAATTCTGCACACAACAATTCTGACGATTCAGAAAAAATAATATCGCGCCATTCAAGCGAATCCTATCAGTCTTTAGCTGATATGATGGAAGAAGAAACAGAAAATCACCAGATTTATTCTCAGCAAATGAGCAATATTGTTACTACTGGCACTACAGCAAGGTCTGTCTCTTATGGTACTCTATTACCTCTGAATCATTCATATGAGCAAAAGAATATTCCTTCCATCATGAGCGTATCAATCAGCTTTGTTAATGCAGCATGGACAGCGATGGATATAGCACAGACATATCACGAGGAAGAGAATGAAAAGAGCTTTACCGGTTTTGTAAATTGTGTTTTCAAAATATGGAGAGTGTTGTTGATTGGAGCAGAATCCATGCTGGATTGGAGAAACCGTGTAAAACTTCAAGCAGTTGTTTAATACCTTTCTATTGTATTATCCTTTTTATACATATATTCACTTTTATATATACATATATTTATATATATACGCATATATATACACATACTATTTATATACTATATCCAAAATACTACCCTTTCAACTCTCCCTTTTATAGTTATTTATACACTTTACACTTTCCACATTCCCTATTTGTTATTTTATTCAATGTACATCCTTTTGATTCTTAATGCAAGATTGCCATCAACTGTTATTAAGAACCTACCTATCAGATGTCTTCCTTTGTGTCTTTTGCGATATAAAGAAACTTTCATTGCTGTAATTAATGCTCTGATTTCGTATTTTGACTTGGACTTTATTTGTATATAAAGTTTCTTTTAAAACTTCAATAGGTGATCAACCAAAAAAAAAAAAAAGAGATAGCAAACAATAACTAGACTATTTTTAATAAGTCACCACCTCAGTTGTTTCTTGCATCCTCGATTATCTTTATACTTTTGGCACATAGTTCTGCAGTTAGTAATACTTTAATAAGTAAACAGAATGTAACATCAGAGCTTCTGGTCAGACAGCACGCCTTCATAGAGTCCTTCATTTTGATAAAAATACTCTGAGTGGCATGATTTTTTACTCCGTAACTGAGTTTGGGCTTGATATTAAGCTGACAATCATAGTCATCTTGGCCATTCTTTCGTTATTGTTATCAGTCAACTTTTCAACTCTATACGTTTGTTAATGGTGATGTACTTTTCTTGGGACTATGGCTCCTTGGCAAGTTAGCTTGACTCCACAATTAGCGGAAAATGAACGCCATGGAGACATCGGAGACAGACAGAAACCTTGACCTGTTACTAAACCGAACACCACAGCATTGAAAATGCTTTTTTTTTTTTTTCCTGCTGATGCTTACACTCTGTCAAAAAGGAGGGCTGCAGCAAGCGATGTTTATTTCCCTTTTTCAATATATGTTTTAACCATCACTGCCTTTTATATCATACGCATTTTATTATTTGAAAATGAATGCACTCATTATCAATAGCAAACTTGAACCCTAGTTTTCCTTAACGGTGCATTTAGTTGACCTGTTTTGAATATAATACACATCTCTTAGTTATTTACTTGTGTAAATCCGAATAGAGATACTAGGGCCAGTGAAACTTTTTACAAGCTTTTTATCACCAGGAATCATTAGACCATTGCTATTGTTATACTTGTTAAACTGATCTTATTTTTAACGTACCCCATTCTTTATAATGACCTCCAGTTCTTGAAAAGTAGACAGTCCGAGCTTCCTGAAATGAGTCAAAAGTCAACTCAGGTCGCCTAATAAAATTATAAGGCACTGTACTACTTGCCCCAGAGTAAAAAATCATGCCACAATTTCAGATGAAGTCAAGCATTAAACACAAAAAAGGGTCTCTGAAGACATCTTTTAAATAGATTATCTTTTTCTCTTTACTTTTTTTTTATTCGACTATTATAATGGTTACTCCTGATCTTTCTATACCAGCTCCACCCACTGCTGTTGACGTCTTGGTCGTCGGTGGTGGTCCCGTTGGCCTGTTGGCTGCTAATTTATGTGTTCAAGCTGGACTCGTCGTTCGTATATTAGGTAAATTAAGCTCGATACTACATGAACAGATGGTAACAGTTAATAGATATTGAGTATGAGCCCAACCACTGGGGAAGAGGTGACTGGATTCATGGGCGTACATTGGAACTTCTTGAAAGAGCAGGTTTGGAAATCGAATTGTTAAGAACGGGTGTCAAGGTTGACAAGATGTCTTCGTACTTGAACGGCATCCTTCAAAAGGAGATACCATTTGTTCCTGAAGAAATTGAATCAAAACATGAGTAAGTATAAAAGACAAACTACAAGGCTACAGTGCTTATACATCCTATTAGATATCTCTTGTGTGTTGGTCAACATATCACTGAATCAAGCTTACAAGGTAAACTTTCTCAATCTGATGTTCAGGTCGAACGTCCTGCCACTGTGATGAAGATGGTTCGTGTGAACGATGATCCTGAATACCCTATGCGTGCGACTGTGGTGCATCTTGAAGAAGGAAAGGGCTCTGAGGAGGTCAAGTGTAAATACATCTTGGGCTGTGATGGGGCCCATAGTGACATCCGTCGTCAACTCGGCATCTCAAATGAAGGAGAGACAACCGAAACACATGCTGGTGTCTTGGATGCCTTGATTCGAACCAACTTTGCAAGTAGAAAAGAAGTATGGTAAGCAGCTCTAGCCGTTATACAGGTCGATTTGGGAACTAACTTGCTCTCTATAGTATCGTCCAAAGTGACCATGCCAAAACCATTAGCATGTTCCCACGTGAAAACGGATTGACCCGTATTTTTGTGCACTTTGCGGAAAATGAACATGAACAAAGAAAAGAACAATACAATAGAAATAAGATTCAAGTAGAAGATATCCAAAGAGAAGCTAAGCGCGCTCTGTTACCCCATCGTATAGAATTCTTGGGCGTCTTGTATTGGTCAGTATATGTAGTAGGACAGAGGTATGCAGAGAGAATTGATGCGGAAGATTTAAGAGTCTTTTTATGTGGCGATGCTGCTCATTCACAAAGCCCTACACTTGGTCAGGGTGTCAACACTGGTTTTGGTGATATATTTAATCTTGTAAGTTGAAACTCGGGTTAGGTAAATATTCAGCTGACCTTTTTCTTGGGGTTATTTTTAGATTTGGAAAATATGCATGGTGGAAAAAGGCCAACTGAACAGAAAGTTTTTATCAACATATCAAGCAGAGAGATGGCCTGTTGCTCAAAATGTATTAAATATCGATAAAGTTGCTGCAAAAGCTGCCGCGGGCCATGAAGCTGCTGATTACTGTGATGTAGTTGAAAAACATCGTGCCTTCACTGCTGGCTTCGGTATTAAATATGATCCAACGGATGACAACTTCTTACTCTGGACTCCTTACCCATCCGATGAAGAGGCTAGATTTAGTAAAGAATACATGCTGCAGCCTGGTATGCGTGCACCTAATTTCAAAGTATACAGCTATGCAACTGGTAAAAAGACCCGTGTGTTTGATGTTGTCGTCAAAGATGTCAAGCCTTCCGCGCCTTTATGGTTAACCTTCACACTATTGGTACTTGCAAGTGATCTAAGATCCACAGTAGAAACCGTATCAGCATTCTTGAATGAAACCAGTAAGGCTGCGCATTCCTTACCACCTATGAATGTTGTCGTGGTCACAACAAGCACAGTAGATCAGATATCGGCATATAAAGGATTATTAGACAGTGATAGAGTAGTGATTGACAAACTAAACCAAGCACAGTGCCATAGAGCTTATCATCGCAAGACAAACACGGCAGTAGTTCCTTCTGATGAACTACAAGTTGTTCTTGTTAGACCTGACGGATATATCGGAACAATCCTACGTGGCGATGCAGACGGCATTACCTTTAGCAATAGAATCTCTCAATACTTTGCTAATATTGCTTAGAAGTTGTTTATATAATAAAATTACACGTTGCATTACTCTTTACTTGATTCAAAAGCTGATAGTCTCATAATATAAAACTTCTCATGCTTAAAAAGCATTTAATGTTTTTATTGTGGTCTCTGGGTCTGTATACGTAAAATTGCCATGTTTAGCCGTCATTTTTAAATAGGTCGGCAAGCATTTTTCTTGTATAGCTGCCTCTTAGTGATTATTCTGGACACCTCGTAAACATATATTATTGTATCTACTGGGATATTTGCACAGTATATTCATGATGAGCTTCTTTCCTGGTACTTTTTGACCTAGTATTAGATCATCTTTTCTCGTTAAATCCAGTATGATTAACTCCCGAGGAGTCATCATGAAAACAGCAACGGGTAATCACGATCATGGAAAAAAAAAAAAAAAAAGCATGCAAATGTCGTAAGATAGCACTATATAATCAGTTCTAGACATGAAAAGAATAATGATAAAATGCAGTTCAAATAGCTTTTCAAAAGGCTTGCTGATAACTAAAATATGCTAGTGGCCTATTGAGAGAAAAGGAAATCTATAGTTTAATTTCGATTTAAAAAAGAATAATAAAACAATAACAACCACATATTTTGTTTAATTTTACAAGAATCCATATTTCTCTAACCTTCTTTCTATCTTTGATAGCTCCTTTCTTCCACCTTCACTAAAAAGTAGCTTGCCATGCAAATATCCAGCTACAAGGATCAAAGGATATCTTATATTAAAGTACCATGGATGCTGAATAGAGCCCCAATAGTCAAAGATATGATCTAGTTTCATACAGAGTAGGTTACATGACCCAAATACGATGAAATTCAATATTGTCGTAAAAATAATAGCTTCTTTGCCTTCATATTTGTCGATAATGAAAAATGTTGTTAAGGAACCCATCACAGACCCCATTCCTAAAGTACACAATACCATTGTCCATACAAATCTTGTAATAATATCTTTAAATCCTGAAAAGAATATAATGCTGATGATGAAAAACAACAACTCTGCTTGAAAAGAGGCGATAGTATAAACCACAAATGGAACTATATACCAAAATCTTCTTCTTCTGACAGATTCTATATCCTCATTATCTAACAAATTATACTTCATAATAAATGTAGAATATAGAGAATAATAAGAAAAAACAACAAGATTCGTTTTTATATGTTTATATTCGCTGGAGATGAACTCTATTTTTTTTTTTTTTTTCTCGCTGACAAAAGAGAGAATTTGAATTTTCCTGCTATTTTGTAAAGGATCTTGTTTGTAGGAATACTTTCTATTCAATTCACCTGCCTCATTCACACACAGCTATTATTTGTATAGCCCTGAATTGACTTTCTTCGGCATGAGACTACATAAACTGTATTATTATTTCACTGTCTTAAAGTATATACAGACTGTGGCAAGTAGTTTTGGCTGTTTTCTTAATTAATTTTAAACTGCTAATTGCATTGATAATCCTCATAGAGAATAAAGCGAGGCTTTCATAATCCTTAAAATAGTCATATTAAAGCCATGTGCAATTGTTTACTTGGCTTGACTAACTGCTGAAGAACATTAGTATTGCAAAGCTACTAAAGATATTCCTACTAGCTGTTACATACGAAACTAAAGCTAGAATGTCAGTTTGAGCCAAAGTGGGTCTTACGATCAATCAAATATAGGAACTCCCTCTTCCAAATGAAAGTTGTTGCTACTATCAAATTCTTGTAGAAAAAGATGTACTTTGTGAAAGCAAAATATGTAAAACAATAAAAGAATAAACAAAAAAGCACGAGCTTCAATCAAGTACATGTAGACCCGCATTAATTATTTGGAATGACATGATTGATTTGTTGAAAGTTAGGTTAATTAGATTGCATTTCGAATGAAAAAGATTCATAAAATTTGATGGCGTTGATACCGGAGATTTAACCAATGCGTGATGAAATACATTTTTTCTAATTTCCAAACAGATATTACTCATTCGATTTTTGATGATTTTTTCTGAGTGCACTAGCATCGCTGTAGTCACACCAGTATGTATTCTTTCTAGCAACAGAAACAAAGTACTAACGAGAAAAGGGCGTACATTAAATCACGTGACAAAACTTTGTCACGTGATTTAAATATAATATATAAATTTTTGTGTTCACAGAAGTATCGAATGACTTCTTGGTGTAGATGGTTATCACGCCTGTCTAACACACAGGCGGTCGCCAGTTCGAGTCTGGCAGAAGTCATATTTTCCCTCTTCGTTTCATTTTTGTGTAACGTTACACTGTAGCACCGTAATGAAGCAATTTTTGTTTTGTCTGAGTTCAAAACTCATAAATCAAGCACCTTCAGTATATTCAACAACGTCAACTACTACTCCAAGAACATGAACTCATGTATTCCAATTTTTTTAAATTTATTTTTGTTATAATGATACCCTTTTTGGTATCTTATACTCTGCATGTCCAATGCAAGTTTTAATGATTTATGATTTATGATTTATCATATATCATATATCATTTATTATATATTTTATATTGCATATTTACTTATACAAACAGTATAAATATCCCCAAAATTATCCATGAAATAAACAAGATCGAAGAATCATCTAAGAATCATCTTATCTTCAGATCACAATAACTTCTATTTTATCTTATATCTTAAGCAACAATTGCTTAATAACCTTTTTATTTTATTTTTCACTTTATCTCACAGGACTTAGCATTATATTGCTCTATATTGATCTTATATTAAGATCTGGTGGTCACTACAATACCAAATTCTACTTATAAAACTTATTTTTAACCTTACTACTAACACCCAGTAACAGTAGCACTAATAACCATAACTGATTCTTTTTGGACTGCGAGATTAAGGTTTCTCCATTTAATGTTTGAACCTTAAACCAAATGAACTTTAAATGAAATGAACTTTAAATGAAATGAACTTTATATCGACCAACCTTATTTTTAACAATATAAAAAGAGCAATGCTTTTGCTAAAAGCTCAATTCATTCAATAAATCACCTACGATTTGAATCACAACCTTTTCCTTTTTATTTTTATCTTTTATTAACTTCTGAATAATCCAATCAAGTGGATTCAGGAACCTTTTTATCCTTTTTTTTATTATTCTTTTTACTTTGTACAACTCAGTCTGATCAATTTTACACGATCTGGTGGTCACACATCGAACCTTTATTATAACTTTACCTTTTAAACACTTTTGCTATGAACCTCAAGTCTTACAAAAGACTACGAACACACAAGCTTCTATTTTTATTACCTTTTACAACACACTCAAACCCAAGGCCTACAAGATTTACAGTATAAACGAAATTTTCATAATTTTGAAAAAGTAGTCTTGATGTTCTCTCAAAAACGTATAAATAGCCTTAATCCTTGCCTCTCCTTGCCAGATAGATTCATTCAATTCGGAAAAGTCGATCAATCAATTGAATCAAACCCCTTTTCTTTTATTTTATTTTTATATTTGTACAATAAATAGGTCTTAACTTTTGTTACAAAAATTCCTGCTCTTATTCTTTTATCTTCACACATTTACGAACTTAATAATTGATCTTTTAATAAGATCTGGTGGTCACTATACTACTCAAACTTTACTCAAGCTCTTGCCTTATAACAAATCTACCCAACTCACTCTAACGAAATAAGAAAAATTACATTATGCAAGCTTTTATGATTTATTATTTATCGTATATAATTTATCATATATTGTATATCACATATTTAGTCATTCAAATAGTATGAAATAAATGACACCTAAGAATCATCTTATCTTCAGATCACAGCAACTTCTCTTATTTTACTTTATATCCTAAGCATCGATTGCTTAACAACTTCTTTTTTTTTACTGTTTTACTTTACCTTATAAACCTTAGCATTATATTACTCTATATTGATCTTATATTAAGGTGTGGTGGTCATTATAATACCAAATTTTTCTTATAAAACCATATATAAACCTTACTATAAATACATTTTCCTTACAAACACCCAGTGACAACAAGATTCAGAAGGTTGCTCTTGATAGCACTTTCGATCCAAACTATGAGGACTAACACTGTCAACCTACACTATGCTATGAGATAGTGTCATCAGCAATCTCTATTTTTTTTTTTTTTTCAATATAAATAACTCATATTACTTTAATAAAAAATCATTAGTTTAATCAGATTAATTAATCTACAGTAGTATTCTCGCCTCAATTATCTTACAAAGTCTTCTCTTATAAAGACGCACTTTTTACTTTTCAATCCAAACTTATTATATTTGATCTATATAATCAGAAGCTGGTGGCCACTAATGCGACATATTATACTTATTTATTACTTTGCTTTAACCTTTTTAATTCAAACCTATCTTAAAAACTTTAAGTTCACGAATGTCATTAAGCTAAAAAAATCAATTGCGCTATCAAGTCTTTTGTTTTTATAAATAAATACTTTGCTTCTTTTGAGGATTTAAAAATTATTTCAATAGAAATATAAGTCTTCTGAATCACGTACCTCTTTACTTTTTGTTTTATAAACACTCTATTTTTGATCTAGTAAATAGATCTTGTGATAACTCAAAGTTCACTTTATATTCTTATTTTAAAAAAATACTCATCCAAAACGTAACATTTACAACATATTATAATGTAAATAACCAAAATAATCGGCATCTACTTCTCACAAGCAAGCCTTAGATGAATAATTTTTATATGATGGAAATTTGTTGTTAAAAATACAATATGTACTAATAATAAAGTAAACAAAAACTCATAAAAAGTAAAGAGGCCGTACGTAATATTTTATTCTTTAAAGCGATAACACATTAGCAAATTTAGAGATGTGTAGCGTAAGCTTTATTTATTTACTCTAAGCTACAAGCATTTTTTAAGCAATTTTTATTTTAGTTTAAGCCAATATACAGCTATGACATCTATTTTTACGCTACATAAATTTTTAATAAACAAGCTTGTGTTTTATCAATTATAATATGTATCACTTGCATAGGAAAAAGAACATCTTTACATGAATTAGGTAAATATAAAGAGAATAACATATAATAATTATCACACACTATAAGGTAAAAAGCTAGTGCTGCAAGTAAGAAATATCTATGCTAATTTTTCGTATACATTTTTGTGTATATAACGCATTTTTAAGACTAATTTCTCTTTTATTACGAGCTCTATCATTCTCGTCTTTGAGGAAGAAAAACTGATGCATATTACTTCTCTACTTCTTATATATTAACGAATACTAAACAATGGAAATGCAGAATTTTAAGGGCGGTACATATGTGATAGGATTTTACTAAATGAAGATAAAGGCTTTATGCAATCAAAAGATATTTATTAGCTGTTACTTTTCCATATTTTAGCTGTTTCTTTCTTTTTCTTTTTTTTTCCTGTAAAGTATTAAATTTCATATGGTTTTGTATAAGCAAGACCAGGTAACTTTGATTGTGGTTTAATTGCAATTATTGTTCAGCTTTTAATATAGATACCAAAAAATTGAAGAAAACATAATTGTTCTAAGCTTCTAGTGCTAGATAACAGTTTAGCAGTTGTGATATTTTACAATGTATATATACAGCAGTTTGTACAGTAAAATGATTAAATAGAATAATTTATAACAGAGAGAGCTCTGATTTACCTCTTACGGGGCATTTAGTTTATTTTTAATTTTTGGCTGCTAATTGTACGTATCGTAATAGATTAAAACAAAGAAAAAGCTTTGCTTTGGAGAAAACAAAGTGTAATACTTTGTATTGTTTTATAGTTTTGTAGCTTCAATGAGTTACTAAGTGCTTGTATTTATTTCATCATATTTATTACAGTTTTTTATCCGTTGATTGGGTATTTATCATGGGTACGTGTTCTGATTAAAGCAAAATTACATACAAGCCTTAGATGAAAAATACTGGTTTCCGCAACGAATATTATTTAGTAGTTTTTGCATCAGATTTATAGCAGTCCTTGCTTTACATTCTGTTAACTTGAGCTACATTTATATAGCAATACTTAATTAAATAGTGTAAGCTTCAGTCAAAATGACATCGTCCTATATATGGCTACGTAGTTGATAGAAAATAGAATAATACGAAATTATTCTATATAGTAGAAGTTAGTAAAACAGTGATAGTTATTTGTGGGACGCGCTGCTTTCATGTTCAAGTTAACAAATACTTACTCTATATTTTACATTGGTTGGTATCATATCATAAGATATACGTAAACTCAATACGAAGTTATCTTGCTTTATTTTCATAAAGCCAAGTATAGTTTATAGAGTAATCAGTCTTTTTTTTTTTTTTTAAAAAAAAAATTATCTTACTTATAAAGTATATATTCTTTATTTGAAAAATGGGGATACAAAAGAGACAAATAAAGGTTTGCTCATACAAGTGCACCTTAGTTAAAGATATGTGGCACAGTGGTAAATATTTAATCATGAAAAATACAAAAATGAAGAAGCTCAGGCTGTTAGTGTTCTTAATTTTTCAAACTTTCCATTTTTTAACCTTGAATGGTTACATAGCCGCTGCTCAATCATTCCCTTGTATTTAAGAAGGAGAACCTAATATCATTAAATTCGGTATTGGATTTACTGCGCTTAGTTTGGAAGCACAGGGAGGTTTGGTGAAATGAAAAGATACGAAAGGCCAGACAGACAAATTGCTAATGCTGACACAGTGTATCTCTCTGTTTTGCAGTCTCTTGCTTGTTGGTGTCCAGGACAGACTTTATATTATGGCAAAAAAAAAAAGATCCTTTGCTTTGTATATTTCCTTATTTTCCTTTTAGACATTCTTTTACGAATGTAAATACCCGACTTTCTGAAGCAATATACACAATTTTGCGGAGCCACGTACTCGTTTTTAATGCAAACATAAGTTTCTTGTCCATGGAGTTTCTGCTTCCATGTTTTCCCATATTTTTTATATGTTTTAATCCTCGAACCTCTATCATCAGCATAAGTTGCGAGTAAAATGAAATTATGAACATTTTAGTGGTAATATTACCTCGTTTGTAGCTAATGAACGGTTATTCAGATGAGAGTAACTCTCGACAGAATTTTTATTTGGGTTTATTAAAGCCTAATATTGCTTGTTTCATTTTGAGATGATAAAAGCTTCAAACGTTTGGTAACAAATGATAGTAAAAATCAGTCAAGTCGGATTCGGTTTTCTTCCCTTTCGGGTAATTTGGTATGCCACATTGTTTCATCAGTCTCCAAAAAGCTTGAGCATCAATTTGGATTGATTTTGTCTGAACGGAATATATAGGTGCAGTGGAAAAAAGCGACATCCTCTTTTGTCAGTGTATTTAGCAGGAGTGAACGTGCTATCTTGTATTCTTGTTTTAACTGTATCAATAAAATTTTGAACTACTGATGCTTGTTGAGGAGTAAGCTTGGCTAGTTTTTTCCTGGAGTAAACGTCTTGTTGGAATTGATTGACTCCAGTATTTCTTCTCTTAAAGAGTTAAACTTCTTTTTGCTCAAACACCAGTGAATGGAAGCTCTCTGAGCTTACGATACACATACACTTTGGAAGCGATTTTTGAGGGTACGTTTTCCATAATAAAAACTTTTTTTTGCACTTCTTGCGACAGAAAGTAGAACCACTTGAAAAACAGGTGAAGTTTTGAGTAAAGAGTATCGGAATCACATTGATCTAGTTGGTATTTAGACCACATGCTTGCTATGCTTTCAGCGATATCTTTATAGTAGTTACTGCATGGGACAGACGATGGCCAAGATGGCTCTGAACCTTGTTTTTATTTGTAAATGAAATATGCCAATGCTTTTCTGGAAGCCACTGGAAGCTCTTTACAACAATTACTTGAATTGTTGTCAGACATCATATTCAGAAAGTACGCTATCGATCTTCGTTCGTGTGTCTCGTGAATGTGATTTCTAACCAGGACTTCGTCTTGCTTACCAACGATGGAAAGAATACTTGAATAGTTTATACTTTTCAAAGAGTCGCGGTCTACAGCTGTCAATTCACAGAAAAGAGTGAAGTATTCTTTGAGATAGTTTGGTGCTCTCTTTCCATTTCCAGTCATTACCGCAAATATATTTGTGCATAAACTTTGTTTAATAATTGGAATAGCCTGGCCATCATCGAGTAGTTTGATGAAGATAAAATTGCCAAAAAGGGATCCCACAAACAAAACTTTAGTGGTATAATCTGCTAGATCCTTGATATGCTGAGCAAGTTGTTGATTGTTACAAACATTAGGTAATGACGCCTTGATTTCAAAGCTTTCAACCCTTTCATCAGGGCTGCAAGCAGGTACTTTTGCTTTCTTGTTTGGGTACAATTTACTCGTTGATCGCGCGCGTGTTGTTAACCCACATGAGGGGCGCTTGACTTCCTTTGGAGCCTTTTGCTCTGTTTTGAATTTTAAAAGTACATTTTGCTTATCAACCTTTTGTTGTGCTTTTTTCAAAAGCCCTGGTTTACTTGAGGAAGAAGAGGCACCTTCTTGATTTACTGTGCTGGAATAATCCGCTTCTTGAATTGGTGCTACTGTACCTATACCAGAATAATGTTAAATATTGACTGATAATGAACAAGATTGAATACTTTACATTCATTTAGCTTTGCGCCTTTTGAAGGTCTCTCTGAGCTGGATGATGTAGAATGTCTTTTCATTTGAAGCAAAAAGAGCAAAAAGTGAAAGAGATTATTGTTGTTCATTTACCAAAATTCATTTAATCAATAAAATCATGTCCTTTTCTCAGGTCCAATAAACTTATGCTGTCGTAACATTTGGTATCAGCTGTAGCATGGAATCAAACAACTCAGTAAATACAATGACAGAAGATGATCTCTATTATAAATATAGCTTGAAGGATGCGTGTTGCCTCTTCTTTAGGCTTTACTCACAAATATACTTTTATTCAACCAGTCAAATTGCGAATGGTGTTAAGGTTGTCTTTTATGAGCTTCGGTTTAAATATTCCTATTTCAGTCTATAATATTAGCCGCTTCTAACTCGCTACGCTCGTTTTTGCGCGTCATCGTGCTTCCGCAGGCTTAAGGACTTCGCCCTTTGTGATGAGTAAGGGCAAATATTAATACGACCCTTTAAGTGAATGGCTAGATTTGAATTTTTGTGCGCCTAGCAACATACTCCAACTCCTCTTCGCATGCTTATTTATTGATGCAATAGTGCTGCATACATGGTTTCATAAAATTATTTATTCATAATAGAGAGCATATATTTTAATAGTATTGCTCGTAAAGGTTTATGTGTTGAAAAGAATGGCATAGTCATAAAGCATTCATAATTGTGAGCATAAGTTTGTTTGGTGATCATATGATGTGTTACATAGATGAATATATTAATATATTAGTGAGGTAATAACTCTTGGTAGACAACATTGTTAGTTGTATTTGAGCTTTCTGGCAGAAGGAGTGAGATGCCAGAAAGAGAGGTAACTCTTGAAAGAGCGACATATAGCTGATCATGCATAAACGACGGACGACGCAAGCCAATTCCTGCATATTTAAGTGGTTGTCCTTGTGATTTGTTAATTGTCATAGCAAAGCATAGTCTAACAGAAAATTGCTTTCTTGTTAGAATAAATGGCAAATCACCTTTTTGTGTTGAGAGTGTAAACCAAGGTATAAGCCCTAATGTGCCATCCGGCTTATTGGCAAGACGAGCCTGAAGCATATAACTGCCAATTCGTACGACAACCAGGCGAGTGCCATTGCATAGACCTCTTACTGGGTCAATGTTTCTTAATAACATTACTGGTGCGCCAAATTTGAGCTCAAGCTTAGATGGAGGCAAACCGGTAGGATTTAAACTGTGTAAATATTCTATAGGAACAGTGTGTAAACCATCGGCTTCATTAACATCAGCAGAGTCTGTAGACGGAAGCGTAACCTTTTCGCCAGCCATCTTGTCGAGAATAATGTTGATCCTTCCAACTGTGTCGTTTCTGGTAGTTAATATGGCCCTTTCACCAAAAAATTGGCCATTGTTTATCGACATAGAGTTACTAATTTCTTCATCTTTATAGACTTTGCTGATAAATTCATTCAGTTGTATGATCTGATAGATATAGCCAGGAAGTGTAATTGAATCACAAAGTGTATGGTTATATGAAATGTCTACTATAAATCTTGCAAATTCAATATAATTTTGATTAAAAAGGTTCGTTAAACGCATATTCTGCGTAAGTCTCAAGGGCTGGAGTCTTGACCATAAAAATGACTGCCTGATTGACGCACTGACAGTATCAGCTCTGTTACCCCTTCTAATCACTGGTGGGATCTGAGCAAAATCACCATCAAGGGCAACAGGCTTTCCTCCAAACAAATAGAGCTCATCAGGATCATCGCAGATAAGTAAGTATAAGTAAGTATATATATATATTTATACATATATAAGTATTTCACTTTTTGGAAAACGTCTTTTTTGTTAGCGGACTTTTAAACAAACTGAACAACAAAAGCTCGACAGGATACTTGTTCTTCTTTGTTAATAGGACAATGGCTCTGTTTGCCTCTTCTAAAGATCTCAAATTACATGAGAATAGAGAGAATGCGAAGCTTGCATCTGTCAACTTTGTAGCATCTTCACAAGTTTCTGAAGCATTAGCTCAGTCTGGCCATTTAGCTTTGTCAGCACCTTCTCAAATCATTGGGCAGTTTCAATATTTGAAGGTATAGTTATGGCACGTATAGTTTACTCTGGCTAAACTTAACTCTTCTTTAGACGTTGACTCATGATAATTTGTGTGAATATGTTGAGATACATCGAGGAAAGCATGGTAACAACACGAACCATTCTGAATGCATAAAAGATGTTAAAACAAGAATAGATAGATTATTTGTTGTCTCAGAATATTACGACTACTCTCTTCAAAAGGCAAGAGGACTTGACTCAGATAATCCACCAACCGTGAAGTAAGAAAGCAGATATTTATTTAGACTGTGAGCATAATCGATAGAGCTTCTTAGTGTGCCCATATTACGGCAATGGGCGTATGAAATACTTTCTGCGCTTCAGTTCCTAAAAGAAAATGGCATAATTCACGCTTCTTTATCACCAAGTAACATATTATTAGATGCAAAGGTATATAAAGAAACTGTGTATCATATGTAACTTATGATCATCTTTGAGCAGAATCATATCAAACTTTTTGGTTATGGTCTGTATTATATGACAAACGCTGGGAAACATGTTGATTTTCCAATCGGCTATCCCCCTTACTTAGCACCTGAGTGCCTCCAGGATGTGGATGGAACATATTATGATAAGGTACGCTTTTGAATTGCGCGATAAACAAAAAAGGGACTAAATAATACGATTTATAGAGAGACGTATGGGCGACTGGTATAATATTAGCTGAGCAATACACTAGGAATCCATTTTGGACAACGAGTGATGTTGGGCTTATATTTGATTCACTCATAACGCTTAAAGAATGGCATGATGCAGATCCTGTCTGTAATATATGGAAACATGAAGAAATCAAATCTTTGGATATAAACAAATCTGTATTGAACTTCTTACAGAATCCTTTGGATGATGAGGACGCAGAACAGTTTAGACAATTTGTACTTGGCTGTCTTCAAGTTTCTGTAGCAGAACGACTTGACATCACAGATGCTCTTGCCAACTACTTTTTACGTGAAAGCACTTCGAGTAAAAATATCTGGGTTGAGGGGCCTATATTAGCATCCGATGCAGTAGATCCAGACACAATTGATATGAATGACAATAAACAGCAAGAAAATATACCAGATATGCTCAAAAAATTACCCATTTCTTATATATACAATCTGTGGAGATTGGCAGGCGGGGATGTTGAATTAGACCTTGTTAAAAGAGGCATTTTCTTGTCGACACCGGCCATAAAGCGATTACCAAGAGTGTGCATGATGCCTGATGCTATAGAAATTGGAGATAACGTAACGGATACTGCACAATTATATTCCGATGCGGTCTTTGTACTTGGATTCAACGAGCTTTATCAAAGATTAGAAGAAGGGCAAAGGACAGCGACTGACAAGTTTGAATGGGATACAGACTACTTTATGCTGGTAGATGAAAATGATGTCAACTTTCTTTTGGATGAGTCTACTGGTGATACAGTGAATGATATCAGTGAAGACGATAACGAATATAAAAATGATTTAATGTTTATAGATGACATAGCAGCTTCTTCTCCCATTCCTACTACGTTAGAAACACCTAGAACAGCAAATGGGCTGTCTACGCCAACTAATGGAATACCCACACCAACAACACCATCTTCATCACGTTCCTTAAGCCGAACGGTCTCTATGGGTAGATCACGCTCTGCGTCATCCTTATCAATCAACAGTACAACCTCTACACCTAACCAACCAAGCGGTAGTAATAGTGCTGCTCCAAAATTACCATTATTCTTAAGGGAGCAAGATGTAAATTATCAATTGTATCGTCTGTCCTTGTTTTCTGAGCTATTACGGCAATATCCAGCATCCAAACGAGAGATTTTGCATCATGCTAAAGTGGACATTCCGCCCCTTCTGCGAGGTAAAATATGGGCAGCTGTCTTGGGTGTTCAGGGCGACTTGGAACATGCATATGACCAAGTAAACAAATATATGAACATGGGGGCTGACAGACAGGTACACAGGAAAAGCCTAATACGTCGTATCTATCTAACAGCCATATAGATCGAAGTTGACGTACCAAGATGTCATCAATATAACCAAATGTTGGCATCATCTACTGGTCATGAAAAACTCAGGAGGTTACTAAAATCATGGGTGGTAGCAAACCCAAGCTTAGTTTATTGGCAAGGTAATGTCTAATTGATCCTTTTTTAAAGTATATTGATTTCTTTTTTTATATATATGAAAGGGCTTGACTCGCTGTGTGCCCCGTTTTTGACTTTAAACTTTAATGATGAAGCAATTGCGTTTGCTTCTTTGCAAAAGTTTATTCCTAAATTTCTCGATAATTTTTTCTTATCGGATAACGCGCCAGTTCTTCAAGAATATTTGGCCGTATTTAGACATCTTTTAAGCTTCCATGACCCCGAGCTATCGAGTCATTTAGATGCTATAGGATTCATGCCTGATCTTTATGCTATTCCATGGTTTCTTACCTTGTTTACACGTAAGCCATCGTTTATTTGTTCATTCGCTAAAAGCTAACGTGATTGTTGATGATACTAACAATAGATGTGTTTCCTCTTGATAAGATATACCATCTATGGGATAAATTGCTTGTAGGCCCATCATCTCTTCCTTTGTTCGCAGGGATTGCTATATTACGCCAAATACGTGATACTCTGCTGACATATGAATTCAACGACTGCATCGTGTTGTTTTCTGACAGCTTTCCAAAGGTAGATATTGAAAAATGCGTACAAAGCGCATTAAATATGTGCAAAGTTACACCACCAAGTATAACAACAAGGGTTCATGGACTCAAAGTCGAGCATAAGAAAAACAAGAAAGATGACAAGGTAAGATGGTGATTTATCATGTCGATGGTCGCTCATGATTTATCTATTAAAGAATGCTAAAAAGCAATGGTGGGAAAAGTCTATATCCATTGAAGAGAAAAAGCTTGAATTGGCGCCTCGATTAGCAGTGAGGGATCTTGATAAGATTCTTCCATACTCATTAGTATTAGATATCCGACCAGAATCAGAGTAAGATAGGACATTACTTTATTTCTTTCATATATACATCTTTTTTTTTTTTATCGTTTCTAGATTTGTGCAAGGTCATATACCTTCTTCTATGAACGTACAAGCAGCACAGTTGATGAGCTATACGAATGTATTAAAAAAGCTCAACCGTAAATATCATGTCGTTATCGCAAATGAAGCAGAGTCAAACGGACCTAATGTAAGCAACAGTTGTGGTATTTTATAATTCTAGTGTTAAACAGATTATATAGTATGCAGCAGAGCTCGTAAAAAAAGTATTCCCCAGAGTGGTTCTTTTACAAGGAGGAATGGAAGCGTATAAATCGACAGATTCTAAGGAGCGTGTCTGTAGCTGTCGTCCTCAAAAGCAAACAACAGCAGGATTCAAAGGCAAGGGATCAGAGCCACCTTTTGTTATGTGGCGCTGTAAGGTACCACCTCCATTAAAGAAAAAGTAACAGGAGATGTAAAATAATAAATCGATATGTTTATGTACAAATATAAGACTAAAATGCGTTTTATTGAAATCATTCTACAATGCAGTACCTCTCTCGAGGTTTTCACGAATCTCCTTTGTATACTTATCATAAAATCGAGCAATCTTTTGGTTAAAGACACGATTCTTTTCGTTGATCCATGAAATATCATCCACAATTTCTTTACGTTCACGAGATCGTGTTTCACGCTTTTCAATTCTAATGAAATTACATGTTAATTGTACTCGACAAATGAATGAATTGATCTTACTGTTTCTTTGTTTCTGCAGCCAATTTTTCAATAGCTTCCTTAGAAGGCTTGTCATTCACACTAGCATAATCAAGACTATTTGCCATCGCTACAACATCAGAAGGATCTTCTCCGTTGCGAATAGCACGCTCAATTACTTCAAGCTGTTTCTCTTTGTATGTGGACAAATCAGGCTTAAATTCAGACATCAAGCGAACATATTTCTTATGTGCAAGCTGTGTGTAATCTAGGGGACAAACAAATGTTGGAAAAAAAAGAAGAAAAGAAAAGCATATATATTATTACCTGTAAAGCCATTGTTTGCCATTTTTGCCTTCTTTGCCTGTTTCTTTTCCCAAGCTTCTGCAGACTCGGCCGAATATTTCCAAAACTGCTTTCTCTCAAAATCTTCTCCGTTATCCCTGGCTTCTTGTTTTTCCAATAGTTTCAATGCTTCCTCCTTCTTTCGCTCGAGTTTTGCCTCAAGCCTTGGGTTTTCTTTACTACGCTGAAACTCCAAATTACGATCACGTCGATTGCCTTGTTCAACTTCTGTTGCCTAATATGTTTGTTATTAAATGATGAACTATTTGATTATTATAAGATTACTTACTCGACGCTTTTGCAATTGCTTTAATTTAGCCATTTTTTCTTCCAGTGAACTTGTTGATGGTTTAGATTCCTCATGTTCTATCTCTTGTTGTATTTCGTTATGTTGTCTCTTTTTTGGTAACTCTTCTTGCACATTGTTGTTCTGTTCAGTTTCTGATGCTGGGTGCTCTTCTTGTACAGTTTTGGTTTGTTTGCTGTTTGTTGCTCTCTTTTTTGCGGCCATGATTTGTTTAAATAGAGGGAAAAAAAATGAAAATTTACACATCCGAACGTCACCCTTTTTTAAATACACAAAAAAGGGAATCAAGCAAAAGCGGGGGCAAATCATTAAAAAAAAAAGTTGGTTGCTATGATACAAATCGATGAGGAGGTTACAATAGGTAAGCTCAATCTATGGTAGAGGATAATAAACAATGGCAATAATTAAAACTAACGTTATTTAATACTGAAAACAGCTTCGAACAATTTCTGAATCTTCTACAAACCAAAGGACGGACGTTTTTAAATAGTATTTACACTGACTGAGTCACTTGTAGAGTTTCGTTTGACAGAAACAATCCTAGGAGAGAAGGTCGTAAAACTATTACTCTGAATGTTGGTGAATTCAGCCAAGAAGAAATAAATCAATATTTTCGCCCTTGCACTTTAGGTCCTGGTTGCCGGAATGCTTTCGTTGCATACTATGGTAATAATGAAGTGTGGACCTTATCGACGACTGAATATTATAGTGGCTCTGGTTCCCCTAACAGGTCTAGAAAAGAAATCGCTCTAAAATCCAAATAAGGCACATAAGTTCTAGAAACTAATATACCAGCGCTAAAGACTTCCAACATCAATCAATACATTGATCACCTGCAGTATATAGTGCTCCATTTATCTCGTTTTTTGGTTTTTACAATTTCCGTACTGCACAGATAAATTGGAACAACTATCGAGGACGGTAATGCGCTCTCGAAGAAGCATGCAATATTTTTTTAAATGGAGGGAAAAATACAATAGAGCTAGACGTAAAAAAACGCGCTCAAACAGAAGCAGAAAGGAAATGGTGAGCAGTAAGGAGCATGGTGATAATGCTGACAACCCTATTGAAATAAGGTGATATAATCTTTCTTTTATTTTTTTACAAAGTCTGTATTTACACAATCGCCTTTTCTCACAAATTATATGGGAGAGAAACTCACAAAAGTCATTTCCATGAGAGTGATGCAGCAAAGATACCTTTGATCATATTCAGGGATGATCTGAAAGGAAGTATTCATGTGAGGTTTAGAGGAAGAAGAGCAAGAGCTTCCGAGATGATTTACAAGAATATCAAAAAGCGTGAAAAACAAGGGGAACTAGTAGTACTGGACATTAATGAGTTCAGGGTATCATCCGTAGGTATCTTTGCAAATTTTGTGTATTTTTAAGAGCCTTAATTATTTCTTTTTAATTAGGTTTGCTGTGAATGCATCAAAGAAATTTAAGACACCATACAGTCCAAGAACGTACCTTTTACAATATA